ACAGTGCACTAGCACGATAATGTGTTGATATATTAGGCTAGTTTACGTTCTTAATGTACCTAACTAGAATTTTAAAGTGTGTTCAAAATAAAAACACAATATCCATGGTTTTTTGCAAATCCATTTATAAGTTCATATCAATTCACAAAAACAGGCCGTTATTTTAAGCTTTTTTAAAAAAACGGGAAACAATGAAAAAGATTAACCTTCTTTAATGTAGTATCTACACCTTGTCACATAATTTACATTCGGGAGATCAGTATTACAGAATAGAATTACAATTCGTTCTTGCTCCTGGCGATAATACAGATTAGCTACATCATTCATATTCACACTTCATCCCATTGTACAACATCTAACCAATTCGACGCCGGGGATTACAGAGCAAAAGCTTTTAGGTCCCCACTCTTATAAGGTATATGTTTTATAATCGTCATTATGTTACATTAAATAATGCGAATCATGTAAATAGGAAAACGTACTAATTTGCTTATCTCGTAATTTTGATATTCATCTGTTTTTGTAACCAAGTACGTATTTACATAATGCTCGTTTGAGAATAAGAAAAATATGTAAATTTGGATTCATTAAAAGTAACGTATTGAATCTCATAATAAATTAAATAAAATTCTATATACGCCAGTTATAATAAGCCCTCAGTTCTGTTAAACGAAAATATTCGTAATATGACGAATGCCATGTCGAACGTGAAAACCTGGTGAAGCAACCCGCAAGAGCAACGGAGCAAGAAAAGACCACTCGGACTCATCGAATCAATATTTTTGTCGTAATAAAGTATTAGGGAATGTGTAAAACCTACCTGTAATTAGTATTGGATTTGTGATTATCAAACCATAAATAAGTTACTTCTTTCTTAAATATAATCGTTTACGTATGAACTATAATAACAAACAATAAGACAATTTCCATTAACAACAATATATTTAATTTTTTCATTGCTATTTTAATAGTACTTTTTCTCTAAAATGTTCCACAATCACAATTTTTTGTTTATAAATTTTTCTTACAAGAGGAAGTATGTTGTAGAGTTACTTTCGTCAATAGCGAAACCGATCATTGTATTCACTTTTGAAATTCGAGACTTTCAAGACTCGGCCGTTAAAACAACTGGCGTCTCACGCCGTTTTGAACAATCGGCTCTCCTGTTTCGAGTGGCAGGTGATGGCGCGATGTTCGTCGCCCGTTAATTGTGTCAGAAGCACCTCGGAGCGCGTGTATTGCTCTTCAGACAGTGTGCTTAAACGACACCAACTAGGCTACCAAAATTTTCACTCCACATTCTAAGACATTTCCACTGCCAAACGCAGTGACGTTCAGCAATAAAAATTAAAAGACGTAGAATGAATGTGTTTCATTTGACTTTAAATTTTTGAGCCCGGTTAATAAGCTGGAAAGTCATGAATGCTTAAATTTTGCAGGAGAGCAAAAAACATCTTTTAACTGAAGTAAATCAAGGATTTATGATATTCAAAAAAAGATGATATTCAAACTAAACTATTTGTGTTTGGGTTTGTTTGAAATCATTAATGTCTGATTTACAGAATTAGCAGAAAGTTGTTGTTGTTTTCTTCTCTTTTTTTCCTCCTGTAAAATTTAATCATTCATAACTTATCAGCTTATTCACCGGAGTCAAAGAAATATATTTTAAGGTTGCTCAACATTTATTGTATGGCGACAGTTAACTGAATAAACAATGAAGTATGCACAATGAAGTATAATATAAACGAGTTATCACATCTTAATCTATCAAGATGTGATTAAGACGTACAAAGAAAATATTATAATCAAGTAAAACAAAACTAAATTATAATCGATATCTTGCCGACTTCCCTTTACCATTGCTTCAAAACTATTGTCAGTTTTCTCATAGTCGTAACCATTTTGCTACAGATCTGCCTTAACAGGCGGGTCCTCCGTTATCAAATTGACGTTGAGGTGGATTGGCGTTGGAATGGAAAAGCTCAGGCCGTAAAACCTGCTCTTCGGCCTAACCTGCTTCATCCGCGAAAAACGTATCACTTTTGGGATAATACTATGAGAAATTCATAGTACATTCTCAGAAAGTTCTCTAAAAATATTCCAATGTTTGATTTTGTTACGGACCTCACACACTCTCGAGATACAGCCATTTTGGCTCATCAGACTAACCGTGAGCGTTCATGTGCATAAAAAAGCTGCGAAGGTCCCCCCCCCCCGCCGACTCCTGATTTTTGTCAGTATAAGTTTTCGTGGTTCCGCTGAACCTGGTCTGTGCGCGTAACGCTGGTTGGAGAACGGTCCTCTACATGAACCGAAACGCACGTGCCGATCCCCGACTGAGAAATCGCGGTCAGACAAGATTCAGCGCATCCCCCAAAACGTATCCTGACAAAAATCAGAACTCGGCGGGTTTCTTATGTCCACAGACACTTACGTCAACATGCTCATTAGCCTCACGTACCCATGAACGCTCACGTCACGCTCAACAAAGCCCCACGCCCGAACAAACGCTCGCAAGGGATGGAACGGGAAGCGGGGAAGGCACCATCAGATGGTCTCAGAGCTGGAAACACGAGATGCGGCAAAACCGGACGGGCAAAACAGGTCGTCTTCGGTTAAGGTTACACACGAAGCGAGCAAACGTGGACGGGCAAAACAGTCAGCCAACTCGAGCGTCTGTAGACACATCCACAAGGCAGGTAGCGATGCGCCGCCACCATACCAAATACGCCCTCGCTCGAACGTAGAGCAGCACGAGTAGATCCGGGCGTAGGAGGGTCAGACGGACTGGCGGTAAGGCGGTTCCACGTATATCGTATTCGGCGAGAAGCGGGCGACCGCTCGCCGAATCCAGGATAGTGTGGATGGGTTGATTGCAATTCGCGGCGCGCCAAACATTCGGTACTCGCCTATAGTGTCGATCTTTTTTATACATCAAAGGAAGCGAACATCCGCGAAACACCTCAGCAATTCGGGACTGAGCGAGCAGTCTCTCTCGCTACTCGCCGAATGTCGAATGTGTGCAGACGCCATTCGCTGAAACACAAGTCACGGTGGAGCCGCACTGGAGAAACTGAGCCTGCGGGAAACAGTTACGCACGAGACGCGCAAACATTGACGGACAAAACCGTCGCGTGTCCCGAGTGTTTAAGAACTTTGATTTGACTTATTTTGTCAAACAGGAAAAACGGTATGTGACGTATGGAAGAGAAGTACAATCTCCGCACGTTTGCTTCAGGTCAAAAATCTCTTCCCCATCTTCTAAACATAAATAGTTGAATGATGAATCAAATTATCAAGAAATCGAGGTTGGTAACATTGTCACTTCTCAGTTACAGAAAACGTATTTGCGTTGGTAAACGATTTACTGATTTAAATTTATAGTATTGTTACCAAAATAGTAACACATACCCCCGGCTCTACTCCTACCACAACTAACAAAACCAGAGCTCAACAAAATGTGAGCATAATGAAGATACATTTATGTCCAAAACCAAAAAAAAAGGTAACTTTTCAACATCTTCTCAACAGATCAGGGAAACTGGATGAAAAATGTGATCGACATAGGAGTCATTAATCCAGAAGCTGAAGCACATTCTTTTTTGCAGGCATATTACGTATTTTTAAAGTTACACAATACAAATGTAAACTAAAGCATCATTATTAAAATAAAAATTATTTTTCTCTTTAATAAGTATTATAGTCTGTAATTGTTTAGAAACAGTTATGCAACATCATTTATTTTACTTTGAACGTTAACTTGTGTTTCATTTATAATTGTTTAAAGTCATCTGACAATGTGTTTTAAAATACTGACACCAGATGTAAGTGATTTCAATGTGCATGTTCTTTTCTATCTGTATGTGATTTCTGTGCTCTTTGATTCAAATTTTGTGGTCCGTTTCGAATCGGAAGATGTGGCTTAGGGCAAGAACTGCCTCAACCGCCTCTGACCGGGAGGTCCTAGGTGCGAGTCCCGATGGTGGCAAGATTTTCGATATTAGCTTGTCAGCTAGGACGAATTCAGGCGCTACTGCCTGGCAGGTCTGATCCGTAGATTTCCATGGATTCTCTGTTCAACACTAGGCGTATCCCGGAGCAGTACCCTAACAAACTGGCCACGGACAGCGCGCCATGTTTCCTTCCTCTTCCTTGTAATATACTCACCTCTTACTTACTTACACGCACACATTCACACACATACACACTTACAGACACTACACTACCAGTCATGCCATTTAGAGCTTCTCCCGGCTGAGTTGGTCCCGCGCTGGTGGGAATTAGAAGTAACCTGCTTGGGGGAAAACCCACAATCTGACGGGTAGGTCGGCCCCGAATCTCACCATCCAGCGGGAAAATAATCACCTCCCGCGATAAAACATACAATACACTTACGGAACTAATGACATTAGCCGTTAACGCGCCAGGAATGCGTAACCAATTAATGTATGCGATTTCTGGGCTCCTACACGCGTGCCCTGCGGTCCGTTTCGGACCAATGTAGAAGCCTCACCTTTCCCCAAACACGCACTCCGCGCGCCGCGCCGCAGGAGGGTAGTCCGCCGACAGGCGCGCACCGGCGTCGCCGCCGCGAATGCGTAACTCGTGTTTCTTTTTCTTTTTACTCTTCTTCATGGGCTGCGTTTCACAAGAGTGGCTCCCGCAACGCAACGCAGCGCCGCCCCGCGCCGGTCACACTCTGCGCGCGTGTGTATCTCGAACGGACTCCGCGGATTCCCGTACGGGAGGAACAGGAAGAAACGCACGAGCGTTGCTGAGGGCGTTCGAGCGTCGAAGAGAGATTTTTACACTCGCAGTGTACTGCGGAGGATGAGTAATCTTAGGATTCTTTAGAAGCTCGTACACTTGGTTTGTTTTCATAACAGTCACACACAGTAACAAGCTTCTTTTTAAAATGTCCCTAATGTGACAGGGATCGATGAGAAATACTGTCCGCATCATTTGCGGAACACAGCTTTAAAATATTAATCATTTTGCAGTTTCTTGGTGTCTTAAGGCCATGTCACGTCAATCACTCGCATTTAAAACACGCCTATTCAAATCGCACACGTTCGCGGGTATCCGACTGAGTTCTTCACTTCCGTTTTACAGATTTCGAGGCATTGGGAGTACATTCAACTGATTGATTGATTAGTGGTTTCGGGAGCGTCAACTGCTAAGGTCATTAGTCTCGTTGGTGTAGAGTGCATTTTATCGCGGGAGGTGGCGGTGATCTTCCCTCTCCATTGGGCGAGATCCGGCGTCGACCGATACGTCGTTTCGTGGCGTTTTCCCCCCAAACATCTCCCATCAGCTGGGCACCGCCTCCTCTAGGACAACCTCTAAGTTCGTGGCACGTGATGTATTGAAGAGCGTGTAAGTCTAAGGGCGTGTAAGTGAAAGGTGGGGGTAGGTCAAGGAAGAGAAAGGAAAGATCGAGTGCGGTTTATGATACGTTTGTTACGGCAATGCCCTGCATGTTTTCCTAGTGTTGATCAGGGAAACCACGGAAAACTACCGATCAGAGCAGCCGGTCGCTAGAAGTCTCCTCCAGGCAACTGCTGAATTCGACCTAGCCAACTAGCCAGTATCGCAAATCCTGCCACTATCGATTCTCGAACCCTAGCACCAGAGGCACTGCAGTGACATCAGTTCATGCCGTGAGCCACCTAAGCCGGCCAAAGTGTAGATTGTGTGTGCAGGCATGGAACGGAATAAATCTCATAACCAGGCGAGGAACTAGGGGGGGGGGGGAAATGAGGGATATCCACCCCCCCTAAAATTTTAACTTGACACGAAACTTTCAAGCAAAAATATTTTCAGATAAGCGAATTGTATCGCAGCATGAGCTGAGTGTAGCCTGCGACATATTATAAAATCTGCAATGACACATTCGACCAAATCACTTTTAATTCCCCCTCCCGAAAATTGTCTCTGGATCCGCCGCTACCATAACATATTTGCTGCGGCGGCACGCTTAATGCGCGCTTCAGCCACACCAACAGGCAGCGGAGGCGCGGAAAGCGAGGCTCCCGCCCGTGCAAAGTGCTGGGCGCGCCCGGTTCGGTCTCCGCGCCCGCCGCGCCGCATCCGGTGCCCTCGCCTCGCGCTGCTCCCTTCCCCTCCACCTGCAGCGGTGCTTATTGCGCCGCTCGCCCCGGAAGCACATCGCGGCGGCCGTCCCGCAGTGCGCGCCGCCGGAGGTGACAAAGCGCAGAGCGGGTTGCTGGCTACTTTGCCAGGGCCGGATTGAAGGGAGGGCGGAATGGGCGGCAGACCAATGATCCTATACTGCGATTTTCGCTACTCTGCGCCTGGCACGTGTCAGCTGTAGACAGTTTTTTTTTGGAGGTGAGGTCGCTATGGTGACGTTCAAGCTCCCAATTCGATGAAACCGTCAACAGCTGATACTTGCCAAGGACAAAAATGCATAAATCGCATAATAAAGGCGGCTCCACACATTCGGCATTCGCCGAGCAGCGAGCTACTGCTCCCCAATCCCGAGTTGCTGATATGTTCGGGGAATGCTGTCTGTCCTTGATAAAACTAAAATACCGACACGTGGTGGGTAGAGTGAGCACCGAATGTTCGTCGCTCAGCAAAGAGTAAGCATCCAATCCACACTTGTGATTCGGCGAGCGGTTGCCTACTTCTCGGCAAAATACGAGTGTGTGGAGCCACCTTCAGGGTCAGGGACCTCCGCCAAATTAAAAAATAATCCTAATTAGTTGAAATTTAAATTTTTTGATCTAATAACATTAACATTTGAAACATTAATATTTCAAACCTATAGAAACTAACTAATTAATAATTTTCATAATAGTTAAAATTTTATTCCAGCGTAATTTCAATATTTGTTTATTAATAAAACTTTCATTCTAGCAATTTAGCAATATATTAGAAAATGTATTAAATATCTATATTGATTATTTCCAATTCGCGGAGAAATTGAAAGAAAACACTGCAGCCTCCAGCCATGTGAGAGGTGTGTATGGGAGAGGTTTGATACCAAAGAACTGCGGAAAAATCCAAAAAGAAAGAAACATTTTCTATTTTGACCGAAAAATGCAAATATTTGATTTATTATTTTGCCTCTTATCAAATTGCGTGTACCGGGGCGTCAAGACTTAAGACGCCATGCAATAGCAAGGCTCCAAGGAAGAGGCGGTCCACCTTTAAATCGTAGTTATTCACCTGTTGCATTATGGAACAGAAAGTTTTTTGATATTCTTTGTATGCAAATAACTGTTTTACTGTGTGTTGCCTATGTTTCCCGCAAAATTACGCAAAAACTATTTTTTTGTAAAAAAATATACGATACTTTTCTAGAACATTTTTCGAATATACGATTCTTTTTTAGATCATATAAATGTTTAAGAATATTTCTAGAACATTTTTCATTTCGGAAAAATCTCTATGTTCAATATTGTAGTTGTAGACGACAAAAAAATTGAACTTTTGCCGTTTTTAAAAATTGAGATATTTCAACGACAATATGACCTGCGCCATTATTTTGAGCGTCCTTTGCGATATCCGAGAGAAAAGTTTATTTAAAAAATCTAGAGCAATTCCCAAAAATTAAAAAATAATCCGTTTCAAACACGCAGGGCCTCGAGTTCGATTGGGGAATATCAGTTTGGGAGAAAATCGTCTGAACGGTTTGGGCTCCAGCGTTGACCATACACAGGCAGACGGACGTTTAGACGAATGGACGGTTAACATTTTGCCATCAACCAATATTTGGTAGCAAGAACCACAAAACGTGAATTCTGCCTGCAACGTGTTACATGAAGTAATTTAGTACATATAGAAATAAGATGTACCTCCTGTTTCGATATCAGATTCTTACAATAGTTTTTCTGCCGAAAAATCACTGAGTTTTGTCGCAGCATTGCAATCTTTTCTACGTAAGCACGACGTATCTACTACCTAAGTACGCCGAATGTAAAAAACAAACAATTGTGGGTTAAAATAGTTGGACGTTAACACTCGAGTGAATAAATGACGAACGAAGTGAAAAAAGTTTTTAAAAAAACATCATAATGAGATAAAACGCCTGTGTCTTACACAGAGTTCAAACAGGCAACAGTTTGTTGACGCAGAGTGATTAGCGCCAAGACTCGTTCTGCCACTACAGTTCGCCAGAGGTTTTTAACACGTCGTTAAGAGACGTTCTTTGCGACGTTTCCGGAGAACGCTCTCCTTTGCTTTTAATAAACCGTGCAACAACCTTCAAACTTTCCTATCGTTGAAAAAAATTAAAGTGCGAATTTGGAAAAAAAATGGTATAGGAATACCCACATTTTCTCCTTTAAAATCGGAATAATATTGAGCAAGAAATTCATTGCGCTTACAAGGTCAGTGCATATTATTTCGAGGAAGTGATTGGAGATGTTATATACACAATGCAAGTAAAAACCATGAACTTGGATGTAACTGTTATGTAACAGTGTTCGACCTGTGGGTCAACGTTTTTGCATTCCCGCTTATAATAAATAAAACGAACGTGCAAAGATCACGGAAACCCCAATGACGTCTCTACATGAGAAAGGGAAAGTTTTAAGTTTACTCACCCTTCCTTTCGAAAGGTGAAGAAGTATGAATTGTTTTCTCGGCTCGATCCAATCGAGCATTTTTCTTACGCCAATAATATTTTCCAATTCTATCGCCTGACCGGAAAAGAATGTATTTTTCCCGCTTATTGTGTGTGTCATAATGCAAAGATATAGATCGGCATGAAACATTACATTATGAAATTGCAGACTACATCTGATAAAAATTGACTCATAACACAAAATACGATTCAATTCTTCTGAACAAAACCACGGCAAGAAACAACCTCGAATAAAATACTTCACTGGAGGCATTCCTATTAAACATTATTCTCGAACAGAAAAAAATAACAAAAAAATGGCTAATAATTCGATACATTGTAACTATTGGAGAAAGCTTGGGTAGTTACGATGAAAACAAATAAAGTGTACTAGAGTATTTCCAAGCTTTTTGCACAATGAAACTGCATCCATTCTTCAGAGATCTTAGGAAAGAACTACCAGTGAGGTTGCAAGGCCTGCCACCAAGGCTAGCGAGTGTCAAGTCGAAGGCAGCCGTCTCCTCATTTGAAATGACGATGCAGAAAAATTACGGACAATACATCCTTCAAGATGTGTTAAATATGTAGTGTCTGAAATATGTATATTATTTCATGTGAATTTACTTTTTAATTAAAAATACTTCGTAATTATTCTGTCATATTAATACAGGTCCCTGTAATATAAGATTTGAACGGAGGGTTCTCAAATTAGATTACGAGTTTTCAACATTCTTATTAAGTATATCGATACTATGTACCATAAAGAAGAATTTGAAGCATGTCGCTTTTCAGTTATTCGACGCGATTGATTCTATGCATCGCATTACGCTTTGATGAACAAGGCCTGTGTAACCTCCAACATTCCAGCATTAGCGTCGAAAGGCCGGACGATATAGGAAAATGTTGCATTAAACACGAAATAGGAAGAGGATTCAATTGTAACTGAATTGCTAGCACAACATTCCATGTTATGTAATTATGCACTTGGTTTTTGGAATGAAGTTGGTAGCATTTTTTGTTCAACAGAATTATAAAAATGGAGACAATGTCATATACACCACTTACAAGAAGTGCACGAAAAGAATGCATTGTAAGAATAATGGCTTTCTCGCATATTCATGATGAGGAACAAAATGGATGCATTTTGTATATTAAAGAAAGAAGGGAAATGTCCTTTACCGTAAGTTGCTCGAATTAGTGCCTGAATACGGCTTCGTATATGACGCCTTCACCGTAAACTTAGTACTATGTGCTACCGGAGTAAAGAAGAAAAACCATTAACGAAGGCAAAGTTGGAGGAGCGTATTTGGAATCAACAAGAAATATTACTCACTTCAGTAACGTGTTGTTCTTTGAACATGGGTAATATCGAATCACTATTAATTAATCATTACAAATTACACTTACAAATTTACGCTTTCTTGGATATATTTTTTTCAGTGGAATTTTCAGGTTTCGTGGATTTTTCTGTTTTTTTAAGGTCCGCGTTCACAGCACGAACTCCAATTTACCACGTGCAAAAACTCACGATCAGACGTTCATTACTTAGATTGTAGGCTCGTTTTCAAGAAAGCGTGACATTACACGATGGGCATTTCTCAGGTGCGGCATTACAGGACAGAGGATATTACATACCAGGAATTGAAGTAATTCCATGTAAATAGATATTGAAATAGGATTGATAGATGAAGCAAAGATGATGCAGAGTATCAAGACAAGATGAGAACGATATAGGCAAGTCAGAAAAAAGATAGGGTGGTGGAGAGAGAGAGAGAGAGAGAGAGAGAGAGAGAGAGAGAGAGAGAGAGTGCGAAAGACTGAGAAAGTCACAGAGAAAGCGAGATGTGACAGAGAAAGAAGGGAAAGAGAGAGAAGACAGAGAAAGTCTCAGAAAGGAAAGATGCAAAGCGATCAATTATGAGAGAGAAGAGAGATGGAGAGGGGGAGAGAAAGAAATAGGAAGAAAGAGAGAAAGAGAGGGAGATAAAGAGAGAGAATGAGAGGGAGAGAGAGAAAGAGAGGGAGAGAGAGAAAGAGAGGGAGAGAGAAAGAGAGGGAGAGAGAAAGAGAGGGAGAGAGAAAGAGAGGGAGAGAGAGGGGGTGGATAAGACAGGAAGAGAAGCAGAGATGCAGACGCGCAGACTAGAGGGAAGCGGTTGCGAGTCAATGCGGAACTGCGCGCGGCAGTGGGCGGGCGCTACCGTTAGCACCACTTTCGCTGCCCCTCCTGCGGCCTCGGGGCGCCCGCGGGCAGAGCGCTGGCCGGCCGGGCATCGCGAGTGGCGTCACCTGCGCGCAAGCCAGTCACTCCTCGCGCCTCATTGCGACTCGGGTGAAAGGAAGAGGATACACACTGCCGCATTGGGCGACTTCACGCGCCCTTCCGTCGCGCAGGTTAGGCAAAATTCAGCGCGCACCTACTACGTAATACTTGTTTGAGGCGCTTTGAACAATGAGTAAGGAAGAACAAATTATACGTGATGGATACCACGATTAACACTCCTACCCCATCGTAATCAACAAGTCCATCTATACCTTTACAACTATATAATTTGATTTAATAAATTTAAAGAAAGTAAAATAAATGGTCAATAAAATGACTGAACTGTCTCATGTTTACTTTCTCGATTTAGTATGTACGTAAGTAAAAAACGCTTTGTAATTCTGCGGCAAAAATCGCTGACTTTTGAAATCAAAAATTCTCATTCTAGGTTCCGGTAATGAAAAAGTGTATAAATCTTGTTCCTCTAAGTTCCTTCTTCTAAAACTTGTATAGTCAGAATTAGCGTATTGTCGGTGCTTTATATAGAAAAATCGATTGTCTTTCTGCGAGTTCGTCCGTCTGCCCAATTGGTCAACGCTAGCGTCTAAATCGTTCAGACGATTTTCTTCCTTATTGGTAATTCTCGATCGATCTCAACGAACTCGAGGTCTTGCGACTTTAAAACGGATATTGTGATTTTGTGGGATACTTTAAAAGAAGCCTCAACAACATTTTCACAAAAATGGCTTCAATTTTTTAAATTGGATTTCCTCAGCGAAAAGGACACATAAAAATGGCACACGTCTCATTGTCATTGAAATAAATTTTCGATACGCAAAACTTCAATTTTTTTCAGCGTCTTCCAACAAAAAAATAATTTTGAAGATATACATTTTTTCTGAATGAAACTGTATTCCAAAGAAATTTTTAAATAAGGTCACGTGTAATTTTATAAAAATATGAGTTGTCTTTGCGTAATTTTGTGAGAAGTGTAGGCAATTTTTAAACAATGATTTTCTAAGAAACAGCTCCAAATCTTTTCTTTACATTTTATCCTCTTATGTAGAAAAATACGGTAATAACGTGGTGCTAGTCCCATTTTCAGCGAAATCGCTTTATTTTCGATATGGCAAAAAATGAAATGGAAAAGTATAATATTAATGGTAGAGATTTTTCTTACATAACTGTTCTAACAAAATTAGAACTTGAAATCAGTTCATGAACAATCTTTTTAAAGAATAAGTAGTTTTTTTCTTAAATGCTTCAAATTAAGTCAATTTAAAAAAATAGTTCCTCACAAATGACTCCAAACTTTTTCTTAATTTTTTTTAAAGATTTGCAAAGCTACGACAAAAATAGTGATATTTCGACATAAAAAACTGGTTTTGTGGGTCCCTGATTCTGAAAATGAGGATAACTCTGTGATCCTATATTAGTAAATAACTTCCTCTGACACGTTCTATAGTCAGAACCTACGTCTTCCCACCTTGATAACGAAATATTTGTTTTCGGCAAAACGTCGGTTCATTTATCAGCAAACAATGCTAGAGGCTAAATGGTAAGCAAGATTTGCCCCAAAATTGATAATCCTACAAGGATCTGACTGATGTCGCGGCTCCTTGAATTGACTACAATATTTTGATTCTCTGAGGTACTCTACATGATGTCTCAAGGACTTTTAAAAATGTTCTCAAAAATGACTCCAATTTTTTTCTTTTATACACTTATAAAAACGGCGCTGGCCTCTGAATTTTTCTAGCATGAAACGACTGGAAAATTATATGAGTACTCCTAGTCACCACTTTTCCCAGTGAGGAAGTTAAGAATTTTTCACGGAAATTCACAATTTTTAACCCCACTATCAGTTGAATCTCTAAGTTGAAATTGATTGTGCAGTTTGGTACCATAGCGCTCTTTCACGTGTGCTAATTTCTAAGTTTTATCTGTACAGTTCAATGTTTTGTACAACTGTTAGCACTATTTGTACTGTTTGATTAAAAACACTTACATTATTTAGTTTTTTTCGCCCCCCTCCAATATCTTAACCGAAAGAAAGCACTTCTCCAAAAGGAAAATATAGGGCATTTTTTGAAAAATGAAGTCTTAATTAAAATCGCACTTATGTCGTATGATTAAGAATATTTTGCTCTATTCATACAAGACGTTCAAAGGAAATATTTGGACCAATTTTTGAGAAAATCATGTTTTTAAAATTACCCTTATTGCACTTGAAATTGCATTAAACTTACATTTTGTTAAAACGTATATGGCATTAATTATGTAATAATTGTGAAAAATAAATTTTATTTTGAAACAAAAATTATCTTCAGTAATGTAGTTGTACAATCGGGATACAAAAAAATTCAAAGTTTTGCAATTTTCGTAAACTTGAACTTAATAGTGTAAATTGGATTAATGATCGATTAAGAGCCTTCATAAGTGTATTTCACATATTCTTAAAATAAATTTAAAGAAAAAAATTAGGGTCATTTTTGAGAAAATTTTGAAAATATCCTACGTAGTTCATGTAAAATATCCCCAAATTCAACGAATTCTCATCATAATAATAGCTTTGGGTTAGGAGAGATCTATTGGGGAATACTTATTTTGGAAACATCTCCTACGAATAGTTTAGACGCTAGTATTGACGCATGGACGGACAGGCACACAGTCTGCGGGAATCCCAAAGCGTGTAGTTTTGTTGAAATCTCGAAATTGATGTTCCGCAGCATTACATAACTTTCTTACTACAATATATAATACTACGTATACACATATACTCGTATATATGTACACGAGAAAGTTAACATATAATGATACAATTTCTCTGAAAGATTGTCTTTTACCGAAAAATCCCTATCAACCTGGCGCTGACATCCTTTCATTGCAAGTTAAGAATTCAAGTGGTTAGATGTTCCGATTAAAAGGGGTAATTTCAAATTGAAAATATTATTTCAAATTAAAGCATTTAATAATTTACCTAAAAGTATATGTAGTATATAGAAACGACAGAAATATCAATTCGGAATCTTCAATCAACAATGATGGGAGTGTAATGTTCTCATCCTTTTAAGTTTGCTAGTTTTCCATTCGCTTGTTGGTTTTAGCCTTGGACGGGCTAACATTTGAATAATTTACTCCACAAAATTAAAAGGCTACGCTAAAGACTTATCTCTGTGATGAGTTGAAGGCTTTTGCATTCACCAGTCCAAAGACAAAACATTCAAATGAGAACGATACGATTACGTGCCACCTGTCTATAATATGCTGGTAATCTAAACGTCTGACTAAATTGACTGGACGATTTTAACTCTGAAGAATAAATACATCATCAGTGATATGTCACTTACTTCTTATCTACTTCCAGCATACTTTTCATATTCCTAATACAAAATATGACGGACAATATGACTCACAGAAAGGGATGCTTTGTGAAAGAAACGAAAGTTCAAAACCGCATCACAAACTAGGCCAAGACATTGCGCTACCCGACACTCCGAAACGCCTCCTACTTTTTGCAAGGAGAGCTAATGCGCGGACGGAAGGCAATGGCGCCAGGATTTCCGAGGATTGTGCGAGAAGTGTTGCTCAAATGTCACAGTTTGTCCAAATGTTCAGCATCTCTTGAACAATAAGCTCGTTCCTGAAACACGAAAAATGAGGCCGTCTCCTACTCGTTATATGTAAATTTCACAAGCAATGAATACCAGAGCGCAATCTAAATGCTGATATCAAAAAATGTATTGTAGGTTAATGTCACCAAATTGTGACCACATCTTTTCTTACTGATTCCGCAGCCAAGAAACAATGGAGTCCGACCTCTAAACTCCTCATAATGAAGAAGGGGAACTTAATCAAAAGAAGTCACTAATATACAAATACAGTCTTTGAGACTATGTTTCAGTAATGCCATCAAAACTAGTTGTCTCGAATATCCTTATCTATCTTATCGATTTATTACATGATCGAAATATACGATTTTTAAATGGCAAATTATCAAAGTTTAATTTATAAATGTGGCTACTGCATATTAGGTATTCGATTCCACGCGGTTGCTTCCTTTGAGGCGATTCTTTACTGGTTACTCATTGAAGTCTCCAGTCTCTTGGCGCAACACAACGTACTGCATAAGAACCAGCCAAGAGTGCCAACTAGATTTCACACTAGGATGTGTTTAGAAGCTAGCACTTAAATGCATGATAATCACTATGCATTGGGTCAAGTTTTATAATCGCTAATCTACAGGATTTTTAACGTGGACTTTTAACGATGAAAAAAAAAAGTTTACGAATTTCTCTAATAAATGTCAATCTATTGAACTGAAAATATTATGTGAATTGACTTCACCTGAGTCAACATTTCACAAAATATTCAATGTCTCCAGTGCTTGTTGGATGTGAAATCTCCGAAATATCTATGGAATTGGTTTATGCTTTTCACTCCGACAGAAGTAATTAGATTTGCTTCTTTTGATTCTTTCGGTATTTAATTTAGATAGTGACTAGGAGATTCATTAGCACTTACAGATTCTCAATCTGACAGAAACATGCATTATTTCATTTTAACAGGATTATTTGATCACATTCTTTAATATCTTTGGAAGTGGAATAAAATAATTGTCCATTCTGTGATCGCATTTTTCCCGTATTGCCTTTTCCTTGCCGTTTAATATCGTGTCTCAAGTGTTTCACATTTTACAAGTACATCTTTGACATAATCATATATATGATGCATAGGGCAGTACCGAACAGATCTGACTATCCCCACGTCGGTCATTAACTAATTTCGTTACGCTCGTTTCATATTATTAGATACTTTGTGCAAGAGTAATGCAATATTTATGTAATTTCACTAACCCTACACGTCTTCTAGAGTTCGGTGGGAAATGTGTAGTTTTACAATTATCGTTTTCCTTGTTCTCGCAGCAGGAAGTCGATTCTTTAAGAAATGGAACGATTAGGGATAGCAGACCTAATATACAGCTGGTTTTCCTTTGAGAATAGTATTTATTACATCGGAGCGAATATTTTCTAAACAATTCGGGCCAAAAACGATCATTTCCATTTTATCTTTATTCAGAATTCAATTTGTAGTGTTAGGTGAGGATAGGATCTCAGAATTTAAGAAAACGTGCGGAGAATACTCTTCTCCTCATAGTACGTCACAAAGTTTTTTAAATGTTTTAATTAATTAATTAATTAAATTATCACTTAAAATGTACATAAAACTGCAAAAACAAACTTTGAGACGAGAAGTACAATTTTGGGGGGAAGAGGTGTCGTCTGGGATTGTCTGGGAGGAACCGCGCTACGGCGTCGTCTTGGCGAATCGCGTGAAGCGCGCGAGGGGCATAGGCCAGGCGGCGCGGTGTCGAGGAGGAGGAGGAGTTCCGGCAAGGTGGATCGCGCCGAGGACCTCGACCCTGGCGCGGCGCCGTGCGGCGAGCGGGCGGGCTGTCTGCCGAGCGGAAGTGGGCCACTGACACCGCACCGACCCACTTGCGCCGCGCGGCGGCGGTCGCCCGCTCGCGCCTCCGCCCCGCCCCGCCCCCTTTTCAACTCCTCCCAGCCGCGCCGCGCCGTAGCGTCTCGGCGCTGTAGGCATCGCATGCCGCCTTCGCCTCGCGGCACAGTGGGTCGACCTGACACCGAACACGCACAGCCCCACGACCGACAAAAATGTTAAAAAATTGTAACAATGTAAATAAAACTAAATAAAAACAATCATTAGCGACATTATTGTAATACAACATTCCAAATATTTTACGCTGCCGGTTACTTCGCTGGATTGGGAACCTAGACAAGGACCTAGGAATCCCAGAGAGACACAAGATGTGATCACTGCAGTAAGTGGTCAGTTTGTAGATGTGAAAGTAAAGTGGTTGTCTACAGTTTGTACTCTACACCCCTATCACGGTGTAGAGTTTTGAGGTGACCCATCACATCCCTGTACATGGGCCTTGAGCCCCAATTACTGAGGGAACAATGGTCACCATCTATTTACAAAGCCTTTTTAGCTCTATATATCAGTTGAGATTGCTCAGGACAACAACTATTGCCACTGCAGCGTTTCCGAAGGAAGGTCCTATGGTTCAAGTCCCGAAACGTTGGTGGTGGATTTTCGATCTAGCAGTAAACGCTCGTTAGCACGAACTCGTTTAACCCGTAGTTAGTCGTCAAACGAACAAAATTTGGATTCCACCAAAGAATCGTAATAATGGGGATATATATATATATATATATATATATATATATATATATATATATATATCAGTCGGATAAGATATTTTTATAACAAGAAACCAATTATTTCAGGCCATTGGTATTCGTGTTAACGAGAGTTTTCTATAAATAGAATAAAGATAGTCGATGTCTCAAGGAGAATTCTAGCAGCTGAGTACTCTGATCGGTAGTTTCTTGTGGTTCATACGATTAAGCTGGTATGTGGTTCAAACCAGCCGAATGCCGGAGCAGTACCTAAACAAACGGGTCAGGAACCGCGCGCGCTATTTCCGTCCTCATCCTTATCTCTCTAGTGTCACTTTCACGTATATGCTACACAACCACATATTATATAGAGTGATCAGTAGGGAGCTTAGAGCTGGTCCCGGTTGAGCGGTGCCCCGCTGGGGGAGATACCTCGAGAGGAACCGGCAAGTTGACGTGTAGGTCGGAGTCGGATCATACGTTCCAATGTGGGATGAAAGTTGCCACCTTACGGAATATAATAAGCATTGCACTTACGGCACTAATGACTAGAGCTGTTGACATGTCTGGAAAGAAAATAATCAACCAATATAACTGGAGATAGTGATATTTCGTTCTCGTCTCTGATCCACTCGGAAATCTGCTGAAATGGTCACATTCACGACCCATTCTTGAGTTTCTTCCATAACGGTTTGATATATGTGATAATGCAATCGATGATATCTGTGGATCTTAAAATTTCAGAATTAAAATTTCATTATTTTCGTGTTTGGATTTTTTATCCCTTTGATTGTGTGGCGCCATACCGTATCTCGATTTTTGGTTGTTTAAAACTCGTTTCACTTCAAACCCTTCTATGAAAATCACTCCTATCGTGTAGGAATCCAATGCAGTCCTCCCGATGTGGATCTCAGAGGCACGCTATTCATGCAGGGCAGCAATTAAAGAAACATGAAATACGATCCATATTTAGTACTTAGTAATACGAACCATTTTTATTCAAATTAATTTAAGAATTCCATTCACATTTTAAGTTTAAATGCGTAATTAAGCTGGAATGTAGATGCAATTATTATCATAAAGCGGCGTACATAGTATACTACCCTTCATTGTTCATTCCACAGGAAGAGATTGAGTTTAGCCTTCCCAAATGTGGAAAGCTCGCACTCGCATCGCTTAGTTAAGAGTCGTAGAGATTTTATCAATTTTTAATTTATTTAAGTGACGATACTAAGCGATCGAAGTGGAAAAAAATAATTTTGAAGCGAGAAAATGAGAAAAGTCCATCAGTACAATTCTGGGCTTAGCAGAAGCACTATGCGTAGACGCATATTACAACTTAAAGTAATTTATACAGTTCAACGTTTATAGAGTTCTCCATCAGCGTTGGCACTTAAAACACTGCGAGTAAAACGTGAAAATCTCGACTGTTGATACTTATATTGCTTAGCCTCGAAAGTATACTTTTTTTTTCAAATGTACGCGTGTTTCGGACCAGTGTGCCGAGGGAAACCCTCAGGCATGTCGCCATTATTCGATGCCGATGAATATGCAGATTTCCGGTAGTACGCGCGAGGGCACACTTCGCAACGGCAACTAGCGGCCGAGCGGACGCAGACGGGAAGCACACACGCTCTCCGACTTCACCGACTTCCTCTCGGCCTATTCTTACGCTCGACCTGGTTCACGGTCAGACGCGATTGCATGATTTCTTCATCGGTACAACAGTATGGTCGAGAGATTTATTGTCTTTTTTTTAAGAAACTAGGTTTCCCCATTGCTTCAGTCGTTGCTGAGGAAGGACTTAGCGGCACGATAGGGAAGGTTGCGTTGCCAGTGCACGGCGGGGGGTTAGATAGCTGTACCTCTTGCAATCGGTTTTACATAGCTTTCGCTAAAAAAGAACCTTCGTTTCATACTTTCGATGTGATATTTTGGTACAGTCCAGCACAAAAATAAAAATATCCCTTGGGAAATGTCATTAATTACGTTATCTTACTGTAATAAACTAGCTGAATGTGGCGTCGCCGATGCTGTAAACTGTTTAAACATATTTTCATGTGTTGAAAATTTCTCAATGGAATACTTTGACTGAATTCTCAGTATCTGGCATTAGACTTACCGTAGAATCCTAGGAGCTGAAAATGTTATACTCCCGACAAAAATCCCAACATCCAATGGCTTTGCATGCCACCTTCATACGGGATATGTACTGACAATATTGCAATTTCAATTTTGAATTCGTCGTAGAAAAATACTTGCAGGTATGGATGATGCGAATAGTTACAATTTTTTACGCTAATTTTGGATACACAATTTGTGTGTATGAGCACAAATATGAATGTAAAAAAATCGCCTGTAATCTATCCTTCAGCGTTATTCCCTAATCCTAATATAAGATCATTCTCAATTAGTTCCGAAAATTCACTCGCAAAATCTTCTACAACTACATTTGATTCTTCCCCGATTTTTTGATTAACACTTCCATATTTTTGCCCCCTAATTTTTAAAGAGTTGTTCACAATCTCAGTCTCATTTGTGTTCATTTCCACTAATGCAATTGCTCTATTAATCGTGTTGTAGGCGAATCTACATAAACATTTAAAGGAGACTGTTTTGTATGTTTTTGTGAACAATGTGTTAGTTAAGTTTAATACGAATAAGTTGTGTTATTTGCATTTGAAAACCGGTATTTGCACGCTTGAGAACGTACATGTGAAAATTCGAATACGGATATGCTTTCATTCTTTTGCTTTACTCACAGTTCTGATTTTCTCCGTATTCATTTGAAGTTCTTCAACTTTAATAAGAACAACGGTAATACTGTACGTAGATTCTTGTAAATTTATACTTAAAATCTCAGTAATACGGATGACGTACTTCACTTCGTATGAATAACTTTAAAGTAGTACCAAAAATTGACAGTTATGCCGCGCGATTCACTCTGTAGCAGGTAGAGACGGCATTAATCACTGTTGTCATCGTCATGGAAGAAAATTATGGTGTCTTGGAGAGAAAACAAAGATTGATACATCTACCTATGTGACGTTCGTTTAATTCCCGGTATACCCAATACGATCGCTAAACCACGCAAAAACATGTTCTGGGAAATTTCTTCGAATTTTCTATCCGGATCGGACAACAAATTTTCAGTTTCCTAGCAGGAAACCCAAGCTCGTCGAATGACACCTCATGTCTCGATTAGTGGACAGGAAGTGGTCTAAGTGTGAGTGAAGGACGGATGTACCGCCGAACGGACACTCGCAGTTACTTATATTCTTTATAAGAATTTGTAATTTTGAAAGCCATACATGTAACTATAAATCACTTCAAGCTTCAACCACCATTCTAGTTAGTTCTCGGATGTTTGTAGAGAAATCTCGAGCGCCCAAGCGTTCATATCAATAAAGCAACGAACCACTTACTCGATTCAAAACCCGGTTTTCTGCTGCCATCTGGACATACGAGGTCATCTCACCTGTCAGGAACCACTGGAGTACTCCAGGCTTTCCAGAGATCTCCCTCGAGAGTTACCCAACCAACCTGTAACCGAAAGACAACGCCTCGACTGCAGGATTTTGTACGCGCAAGGATTTCACTGCTGTGTTGTTATTTACTTGATTCAAGAGGGTGAAAGGGGCATCAGTTCTCTGATTCAAATCATAGGGGCTACCAAAAACCGTCAGTATCGTATATTACTTATGATTAGATCCCACCGGGAGGTCCTAGTTTCGAGACTCGACAGTGGTAAGATTTTCGACACTGGCTAGATCGCTAGGTCTGTCGCTGTCTGGAGGACAGTTCTAGCGGCTGGCTGCTCTGATTTTTAGTTTTCCGTAGTTTCTCCGATCAACACCAGGCGAATGCCGGAGCAATACCCTATAAACGGGCCACGGATCGCGCGCGATCTTTCCTACCTCTTTCTTGTCCTATCCTCACCCTTTTACACACACAACAAAATATTCATTACACTACCACACATGCCGGGAGACCGGTCGGGAGCTTAGTGCTTGTTCCGGCTCGGGCGGTGCCAAGCTGATGGTGGATAGCTGGTTGGATCTCGCCATACAGCGGGGGAAGACCGCCGCCACCTCTCCGATCAAAAACATGTGCTATACTTACGGAACCAATGACCCTAGTATTCGACTCGCCCGGAATCACAATCAATCATACCCCGCAGTTCGGGCATTTTTTTTATCTTAAAGTAGGTAGGCAAAAAGGCAAGCAGTTATTTTGACTAAATTAGGGAAGTAAAAAGGCATGTAAACAATGAAAAATCACATTAAAAAGATATTATGTAAAAAATAATAATTCAAATGATTCACATTTTTTCCAACTCTGAAACTTACGTAAACACATACGAGTAAGTTTTTTGTAACGTTGATTCCACATGATCATCCAGAATGACTACGAATTCGTTTTACTCGCGAAGATGTCTCTTACTGCGCATAAGTGAAAACGGTATCGCCAACACTAATAAGGGTATATCATATACAAAGAGCTCTGTCATCAAAAGGGATTTTCATGTAGATTTTAAAAGTAACTGGCCCTGAAGCCTCCCAAAGCCAAAACACAGCCGTGCCTTCGTGTTTTCCAAGCTTGCTGGTAGGTTTCCAGATTGATCGAGATCGATACCAGGGGGGAAAAGCAAAATAATTACAAAAAGAAAAAGATAAGATAGAAAAAGATTTACATAGAAAAAGGTAAGATACCGAAATTAGGCAAAAAAGGCAAAATAAAATTCTACTGAAACAATTTTAGAAGTATAATTAAATGATTCTAATGTTAAAAGTCATAAAATAATAAAGATAATAATGAGGCATTTGCCAAACTTCCGGCCACTACTTATGATTAAAAGAAACGAAGATTGATTAAGAAAACCTACGATGCGCCTCGAAAATACTGTGCCTGAAAATGCTCTGATCAGTCTTCAAACAAATCTAAGAACAACTTCACCATCCCGTGCACATGAGCAGATGTACTGACTTCACTGGAAGCGATTTTATTCTGAAGAAAAAATATTATGAATGCTCTCTCAGGTCAATTATCGTGTTATGGAACGCATCAATATATGTTGAGAATGAAATATAACAATCTTATCATGAAATCCATTCTTACACTTAATGTATCTCTTTCCATGTCTCTGGTTTCATTGCTTCCAAACTGGCCTGCATTCGACTTCCAATCAGAATGCTCGGTTATGTCGGTAAATATTAACGGCAAAAATGATTTTATAAAATATGCAACAAATGGACAATGCTACTATAGAATCGGATCTGCCCCTGTCAAATGCGCAAATGTGCAAACGATATGATTATATGAGATGCTTAGAAAGTATTAAAAAAGTTCATGAAAGTTCGTTATGTACTGCAATGACAATAGAAGTCAAATATTAATCCAGGTTCAGAAGCATCCGAGCAATGAATGCAATGAAACTCAAAGTAATGGAAATCAATAAAAAATGAAACTTGGAGTACTTGCGAGTACTCTTCTCATCGAACAGATATACAAGCCGCGTATATAGGTAGTCGACTATTGAAGAGCTCATTTCCAAAACGACGTATCTCCAAAGAACACATTTTTCGGGAGGGAGAAGTATTCACATTAAGTCTTATAATCTAGAATAAGATCAACGGTTTTTAGATACCGTTTACCGATGAGAAACGAAATTTGTGAATATAATATTTGGCAGCGAGATGGAAATGCATCTTAAGAATATATTGATACGTTAAACTAAAAAACAAATGAAACTGGAGATACGTCACTTCGGAATTAAGCTATTCCATTATTTTTGAAAATTTTATTTATCTCTCCATCACCCATCATTATTTGCAGTTACGTCATAATTTCCATCACTATATAATAAATTTATAATACAGTCAAACACAAAAATAAACGCTCAGAAATGGAAGAAAAAAGGTAGAGCTGCGAGATGAGGAGGGACGTGCACATAAGGTGGGGTGGTAGTTGTACCCGAGACGGGGCGGGAGTAATGATGGTAAATTTTATCAAAACATCGGTATTTCGAAACACCACTAAAAGGTTTTCGATGAAAACATCGACAAAAAACATCGATGTCTAAAAAATCGATATTTTAAATATAGAACAGATGGTATTTTCTCATCATGTTTCAATTTTTAACTAGAGTACTTAAATGTAATACCGGTATATCTTACTGTTTGGTCATTTATAAGTAATATGTTAATAACACTGATTAGCGAATGTAAAGAAAGAAAGAAAAAATAAAGGGCATCGTATTTTGGTATTTACATTTATTCAATTTCCTTCATAAATCATCGAAGAAAAACGTCATGTATCTAATATTCATAATACGATAATATTACTTTAAAATATTTTATGCTTTAAATCACTCTGTTCAGCCTAATTTTTTAATCAATATTCTATACACACAAGGTTCAAAATGCAGTTTAACGATATTACAACGTTGGAAAGCATCGAAACAGATAACACAAATGTTTCTGAAAACATATATCGATCTGAAAAAAAACCATCGAAAACAAAACATCGAAGTTAATGTATCGATGTTTCTGGTGGAAAATATCGATGTTTTAAAACCATGGACGTTTTTCGCCATCCCCAGGCGGGAGTGCCGCGGTCAACCCGGCGCGCTGGAGAAACGGGTGTCAGGAAGGTGACGTGAGTGGACCGCAGACGCCGGAAGCGGGAAGAATCTCAATCGACTGGTTGCGACTGGTCGCCTTCCGGTCGCTAAGCGACGCAGCACCTGCGAGCGAAGACGTTGCCGCAGCCACTCACTGCTCAGGGACGCACGCAGTAAGCTTTCTTCACGGCCACACTGAATCGGTTTGTGTCGCCATCGCTCGCAACGAGGGGTGAGAAGAGCAGTGCTGTCAAGACTGTTTCCTAGTGCCAGTGGCATGCCTCGCAACAGAACTCTGATATCTCTACAGCGACGAAATCTGCAGCAGCAAATTCATGTAATGATACGAGTTATTTTAATCTTATACACAAAAAATATAAGAAAATGTTAAGAAATGTAACAACAAACATACTTTAATTGATTTTTCTAATTCCACCTAATTATGTTTCTTATATAAGTTTATGCATCTTATATCAGTTTAAGGGCCCTTTCCATTATTGCTCTCTTAAGAGAAGATGGTCGACTATACTGAGATTTTTCCAACTCTGTACCTGGCAGATATCAGCTGTTGACAGTTTCATCCAATCGGGAGCTTGAACTCACCATAGTGATGTCAATATACGTGGAGCGGAGATTTCATTGTTACACAGTTCACTGAGTCTAATTGGTGGCAGTCTCCTTCGGGATTCTCGTTTTAATCATATAATGAAACAAGAAAACTCAAAGTTTACAAACTTACAGTTTCCTTCAGTGAAATATTTTCTCTTTGAGCACTAATATATTGTCTGATAAGTTAAAATGAAAATGTTGCTTCTTAAGCTTTTGAAGAATCGTAAAATAATGACTGGTGGATACATATTCCAATACCAAATCAGACAACAGAGCAAATGCAAATTGAAACCTATACCTCAGCAATGTCAGACAATCGTCAACGAACAAATGAAAAGAACGTAAAACAAACTCGATAGAGGCAAATGCAGAGGGAAGGGAGAGCGAGGAGATAAAGCAACCGCCAAGAATAATGTTACAAACAAGAACACAAAAGTTCATTATACGATTAAGTACCAGAAGACATTCTAAAACAAGCAAATCATATTTCCAAGTAAAAGAGAAAAAATAAAAGCACCATTTTCACGCTCTCTTGCTTCGCCTCCGTCTGCCGAAAGCAAGTTTCCTGAAAGTAGCGTAGCAGTGGCTGGCAAGCTTTCACTTATTATGACTGCGGAAAAGACCTGACCCTTTAAAGCTGCTTACACAAATGAATGGGCAAAAAAAACTCCACTGTGAGTCAATTTCATAGAAAATCGGATATATTTTGATACACTTGTGGTAAATGGATGGTCAACCTTTCCGATCCAACGACAGTACAATACATCGTTAATCATGCCACAAAAATTACAGTTCATAAATGACACAAACTGTTGTATCTTAAATTTGTATGCTTCATTCAAGAATTAAGTATTATTAAAATACTTCTGAGATATTATGCAAATGTTCGAGAATTCCGTTTCCAAGGAGTATCCTACAAAACTGTATATGACACCGAATTTATGTATGCAATTCACAGGAGAAGGCGACAGTGAAAAATGTATTAGATTACGTTACAACCTAGAAATAGATGTGAAACAGCAGAGAAAGTCTAGAAACGAATTTGTAAACATATATTTTACATCATATTTGTATTGTCACATTGTTTGGGCACTCTGTATCCGAATATTCCCTTTCGTATTTTCCCTTTACTTTCGTATTTTTTAGTTACTTATTTTTCTAATTTTGTATAAAACCTGTTCATGAAAATACCTTTTCAGATACTGTAGAACTATTTGAATATCTATTGAAACGTATCTACGGAGAAAAGATACAAAGAAAAGACAGATAAGGGGCATTTAAACTATATTCGTCATTCAAAAAATAAAACAAGATCAGGGGGTAAAACAATCAATAATGAAATTCCCCAGAGTTGAAATAAGTTTTTTAACTTTAACTAATGTAATGCAAACCAATCACATTTGCCTTAGAAGTTCCATCTTAAGATATCTAATAAATGTCATTACCACTTATGAAAGACAATTGCGTTTGTTAGAATTTAAAAACAAGAATTGGAAAATGAAAGGAAACAAAATAATTCGGAAAAAACTTAACATAATACCTTAATTCATAATCATCCTGGAATAATCTGTGAACCTTGAAGAATACAACGAAAACATGTCGCCAAGCATAACAATAAACATCTCGTCCTTTGGGCCACCAACAAATTACAACAGTATCAGCAAGAACATTGCAAGTTAAAAATAGTTTACAGACTCTTCGTAAGTTTCTAGCTTCTTTCATAGTTTATAGATTTACGAAAAATATTTTAGTACTGACAAACGCAAATATACTAAAACGAAAGGGAAAATATTGATCATTACAAAATGGGATTCCATCCTCTAAATGCAATGGAAGCCAATGAAAAGTAGATAATACGTCTATTTATCCATTAAGAAAAGATAAAACACTAAGGCAATAGGCCATTTATTCGAGAAGCCTTCTGAAAAAAGATCGAGTTTTTCAACAGGCACAGATATGCAGCACAATTTCTGTGGACCAACTGGGAGGCAAGAGAAGTCGACACTCTCGTACACTTCTTGTGAAATCTACAATTGAGTATCTATTTGCAATGGTTCACACTGACACCGCTTTTACGTGTCTAATCATCGCAAATCCAGTAGCAAACAATCCCCTGAAATTCAGCTTTATAAAGAATTATTATTGCGCAACGTATAAATATGTGTACAAAAATTCAGCATTATCACAACAAATCCAATAGAGCGAATAATAAGACGGTGAGAAGTGAAAGGTTCGTTTGATAATTTTTTTTTTCTTTGAAGGTCAACTTCAGGGAGAACAGAGTATAAGCATAGTCTTTACCTTCTGAAATGAATCCAACGTTAATTGGATGTGGAGAATGAAAATTCTCCCAAATATTTATTTTTCACTTTTCAAATATTGGTGCTTATGCTAAAAACTGTAAACCCATTCTGTTGTTGTTGTTTTTCTTCAGAATTTATTGCTAAATTGTAAACACTCACTTCGATAGAAGTTTCGAACAATTCTGACTCGATATAAAAAAAATGTTGATATTAGGAATCGAAATGGACAACAGCTTTCCGCTTCCATTTCATCAAAAGTGAGTTCGCTGAATGTGTATAACGTGGTTACAATGCTAATTTTCCTTATGTTAAGTAATGAGTATTTGCCAACTAATGCGAAAGAAAGATTAATTATCTAATGTTTTGTAATTTCCAGCAGGGTAGATTAATATTATAATAATAATAATAATCGTTAAATGTAGCATTTTGCTAGCAATGCATGTCACTGACATGCCACTCACATACACATTCACGAAAGTAAGACAGAGAGAGCGTGAAAAATTTATTTCGAAGCTTAGTTAGTATCAATATAAGACTCTTTTGGCCTTCAAAATATCAACCGGAGGCGCTTCTTTAAGATATGCGAATTTACTTGTCGACGATTCTGCAAATTTGCAATTAATATTTGCAAAAAATGGTAGCGTTTCCAGGTGAATAGCTTCCTTGCGAAGAAAAAAAAACTGGGTCCAAATGGAAGTGCTAAGATGTCGCTAAAACAGAAAAGTCCGGCAATAAAATCACGGCTAATCGTATTAAGTACCAACTCCTTTTCTTCTGTTGCCTTATACACTGAAGAGCCCCAAAAAAATTATTAAAAAAATTGGTACACTTGCCTAATTTCGTGTAGGATCCCCGCGACGGAGAACCGCAACACGACGTGACATGGACTCGACTAATGTCTGAAGTTTTGCTAGAGGTGGCTGACACCATGAATCCTATGAATCCTGCTGGGCTGTCCATAAACTCGTAAGAGTACAAAGGGGTAGAGGTCTCTTCTGAACAGCACTTTGCAAGGCATCCCAGATACACTCAATAATATTCATGTCTGGAGATTTTGATGGCCAGAGGAAGTGTTTAAATTCAGAAGAGGATTCCTGGAGCCACTCTGTAGCAACACTGGACGTGTAGCCTGTCCCATTTCACTGCTGGAATTGCCCAAGTCCGTCAGGATGCACAATGGACATGAATAGGTGCGGACAGGATGCTTACGTACGTGTCACCTGTCAGAGTCATCTAAACGTGTCAGGAATTGGTTCCCATATCATTCCAACTACACACGCCCCATACCATCACAGAGCCTCCACTAGCTTGTCAGTTCCCTTTTGACATGTAGGGTACATGAATTCATGAGGTTGTCGCCATACTTGTACGCGACCATCCGTTCGAAACAATGTGAAGCGAGACTCGTCAGACCAGGCAGTGTTTCCAATCAACAGCCCTCCGTCGATGTTGGGTCAAGGCGAGGCGTAAAGCTTTGTGTAGAGCAGTCCTCAAGGGTTCGCAAGTGGGCCTTCGGCTCCGAAACCCCATATCGATAATGTCTCTTTGAATGGTTCGCACGCTGACACTTGTTAATGGCCCAACATTGAAATCTCCACCAATTTGCGGAAGGGTTGCACTTCGGTCATGTGTCATGATTCTCCTCAGTCACCGTCAGTCCTGTTCTTGCTCGATAGTTTTCTGGCCGAAGCGATGCCGGACATTTGATGTTTTACTGGTTTCCAGATACTCACAGTACACTAGCGAAATGGTCGTACAGGAAAATCCAAATTTCATCGCGACCTCAGAGATGCTATGCCCCATCTCTCTTGCACCGACTATAACACCACTTCAAACTCACTTAAATCGTGATAACATGTCATTATAGCAGCAGTAACCGATCTGTTTTTATCTCGCTGTTGTGCAAATGTAAATGATCTAGCGACAAAATCTTAAATAACAGGTAATCTACTCTACCCCGTAATTTTAAAGTATTTTTATTTCATACTAAAATATCTTATCTTGTAAGATTTGGGACAAATTCAAATTACTAGTTACGGGCAATTTGGTTTCCTTCTTTAAGGGGTGACTCACCCCCACCCCCGTGGGTCCGCCCCTGATTAGCTACTTATTTTTCTTCATTAGCTTTACCCTGCGGCAACGAAATCGAATGTTTTAATGTAACTGTAATGTTGTATATTAACAAATGTGAATTAAAAGCAAAACAGTCGTCGTTAATTAAAAGCAAACCAGTATTTAATCGCATATCCCGTGCAGTCCCCATGAGTTGTACTCGTTTTAAAAACTACACGAAAACTGGAATGGACCGGCTGCGCAATTAAATTCGTCTCGAATTGCGAGGCGCAACGGCGCGACGCGTCGCGGCGGGGCAGGTAGAGATCCACCCGCTTTCTCGACGTCGCCGCCACCGCCGCCGCCGCAGAAAACGAGAAGCAGAGGGCAGTAGTGGCGCGATCTGCGCGCAGACTCCGCCGCGTCGTCGCTTTCACTCTGCTCGCGAATGACGTCTACGCAGCCGCTACCCCCACGCCACAAGATGTGTTACCAGTCGCATACCAACGTCATTCCGATTGCACGAGAATACCAATTGGGAGGGGGGGGGGCAACGGTGGACACCAAAGAAAATTGAAATATCATTGAAGGAAAATGAATCTGTGTAAATGATTTGGAGTGTTTATGATTTCATTTTTTTATTAAACGATTATTTACAATCTGTTCATACATGTGAACAATAAGTAATTGTGTTGACATTAATATTGATTGAAGAAGATGTTCATTAGTATCTCTTCATTAAAAACATTGCCGAATGACATTAACTATATTACTATAATCGACACACAAGTTGTAGTGTCAGTCTTTTCTGCAGCGTAATTGTTTATATAGAGTTAGAGACTGTACTGACCTCAAAAAGAAAAATAATATTTACTTTAACCATAATATATAATTCATTAGTTTCCATTACACTGAGGTGACACAAGTCATGAGATGGCAAGATGCAAAAATACAGACGACAGTAAGTATCGCTTACAAAAGGTATGAAAGGTCGGTGCCCCGGGAGAGCTTTCATTTGTACTCAAGGTATTCATGTGGAAAGGTTTTTGACATGTTTACGGTCGCACGACCGGAAATAGCAGGCTTTGAACACAGAATGATAGTAGGCATAGGAATCATATAGGACATTCCATCGTTCCAACTCGTTTACTAGTTGTTGTACGAGTAGAGCGAGGAGTATGGGTTGGAATTTTGTTAGCAGAACTAAACAAAAAAATCTGTGGATCGTTTACCGATGCACATAAATTTTCTATAATTCTGGACCGAAAATTTCTAGTTTTAAAATGTCGATAATTTCACTGAAGAGTGTACTAAAAAAGTAGAGACGAGATTTTGGACTTCAAGAAAATTTGCGAAGATTATACTTCTTCCCCATACGTCGCATAGATTTTACTGTTATTTGACGAAAATAAATCAAATACATCAACAAACATGTCGGAAACCTAGAGCTCGCCTCAGCTGGGGGTGAAGCTCCGCTGCCGTAAATACTGGATGAGGGAAACCCCCGAAAGCCGGAGTGAAGGTTGGAGCCGGATCTGCAGTAGGGGATAAACATCGCCACCTCTCGTGACATGACACGCACTGCAATTTCGAGAATGACCACAAAAGCTTCAGCGACCGAAAAAATCAATATCTCAATCGAAGTGATTACATTAGCCGACTGTACATGTAATCTCGTGATTTCATGAACGGTACACGTAAATCTGAATATTTTGACAGTGTTATTCACATCACCAACAAATGTGCAAAGAATTGATCTGGCTCTGGAAGCTGCGTCTTCTGCAGAAAGTATCAATAATATAATAGGTATACGTCGCTCTATAGTCGGGCAGCTTCAGCTCTACAGTCGTACGCCATAGGGTAGCAAGAACAATCAGCAAAGTCCTCCAACCCCAACCCATGTAAGGACAGTCGTAGAAAAGGAAAACATTTCGTTATATATGAAGAGATCGCTTATAGTTTGATTTGTACCTATTGTAAAGGTGTGTTTAAACATGGCTATCATATACAGAAACAACTATGGTTTGAATGTTAATTTGAAAGTTGGAAGATTGAATTGCTTCATAGAATGTCCGTCTTGGCAAGCTTTTATACCTAGTAGAAAATAAAAATTCGCCAAGTGTAGTAAAGAGCTCAGCGCCTAATGCTTAACACTGATCAATCTCCCAGACCACTAACAAAAGTGGTTGAGGTCTTAGAGGTAAAATATCACGCCATTTGGCCCTTAGGCCTCATTCACCATGCAAACTTAAAAGTAACGTAATGCCGTAAACTGCGGTAGAAATAAATGACTTCGGTAGAGTTGCCGTAAACATAACGTAAAAGCTTGGTGCTTGTGAACTCTTAGGTTTACGGATTTACGTCTATTGTTACGTCAAGGCATTGTGAATGGTCTCACTTAATAGGGAGGTGTAGCGCTACGCGTAATGTAGTGACGTAATGCACTAACAGTCATGTGACGAACCTTGAAGTCAAAACGTCTTACCTTAGGCCTAAGGTTCAACCTTATACCTTTTGTAAATAGGGCACCCCTATGGGAGACTATACGGTCACCTTACAAGCAGTTAAATTGCCGCCTAAAAACAGGAAAAGTTGAATTTTTCCAACTTTGATAAACCGATTATCGTATGTGAGACACAATTATTCCTTACGAACTCCACAATGCTGGCAACAATTAATGTGATATGTTGGAGGTGACAGGAAAGAAATTCGCGAAAAGAAAGTTCAAATTATATCTTGAGATAGGTTATGTCTTATGCTCATAACGAACGCTGTTTTAAGATATTTCCAATATTTTCAAGAAAAACAGATTCAAAATTCCAGACTGTATACTCATCATGGACGACCACAAAATCTTAAACTCCGTGTTCAATGTATACTTGTAATTCTGTTGACTCGTAACGTGTTTCAAATGTCTCACAACTAGCCTACACTCTTTGATATATTATGCAATTTGTCTGTTCAACGCTTGAAATACTTCCTTTGTTATAATGCATAAAGCAATGCCGCAATTGCTAAAACTCTTTTCAAAGTTCATTACGACCGTATAAAGGCGTTAGTCACGTGATCAATAGAGTTTAAGAATAATTCTTATTATCTCCTTACGCCTGGCGCTAAAACTCCCTAATAACTCATTTCTAGATTTTGCGGCTACATTACGTTTACTTTTGCTTTGTGAATGAGGCCTTAAGTGGTACACTCTCAAAACTGTCCGTCCGTGTTATCTCTATTAGAACCGATTCCTTTTGACGAAAGATTCCTTGGTTTTAGCTAACACACTCATGCGCATAAACCTTGCACGCGCGCAAAACTAAAATCGTTGTCTAAAACTGAAATCGTTCATAAAAGGGATGCCTTAAAATGGGTCTTACTGCGCGTTGGGGGCGGAGCAAATTAAACGTTTTATGAGCTAGCTTGGTCCAGCATTGAAAGCCGAAGTATTTTCTGCGTTTTGATTGATGGATGTTTCCGGGTATGTAAACTGCTTGGGCTACTGCTCTCGTTAGTGCAGTGATTTTTACTTTTTCCTGGAGGTGGGGGTCCGGCGATCCAGCGCCGACTTACACGCTGGGGAATCCCCATCCAGGTAGCTCCGCCAGCGAGGCACCGCCCCACGACATGTGGGGTAGATAAATGCATGCAAGTATGTGTGCGCGAGAATAGGTCACGGCCCGTTTCTTAAGAGTATTCACCTGATATTGTTAGTAGAATCCACGGAAAGGCACCAGCAGTCGGTCGCTGAAATTCTCCTCCAGATACAGTCGAATTCGACATAGCTCTATAGTCAGTGTGTAAAATTCGTCACCGACAGGTCGCGGGACCGCTGGCTGAGCTTACACAGTCGGTTTTATGATTTATGCATTTCTCATGCCCCCTTCGAGGGTCACTAACCCTTAAAGCACAAAGAAATTTCTTTAGAGTCTGATAGACACAAGATCGCTAAGATTAAACCGTGCTCTGCGCTGAGCAATTTGTTAAAGCGAACTTAATAGACCCAGGAGTTCACAACAATCCTGGAAACCCTGCTAAAAGAGAACTGGATCGGTTGTTGAAGGGGTAAAATGAAATGCATAGCCACAATATGTTTCTACAAAATATATCACAAACTTTTTGAAGGTAAACTGAAGAAATATAATGAGAGGTGCATTCATATCTCAATCACGATCTTGCACTACGTAGGATTAAATGTAAGCTTTATATTTTATTTATAAAATTGAACCATGATACTCGTATGTTTCTTACCACCTTTGTCTTTTCTTGCAGCACACCAAAAATATCAGCAGCAGTCTTAAAAAATCTAAGCAGTATTAACAAAGCCATTCCTATATCGTTGAAGGAGATGAGGGAGCTCATGCATGAATGCAAAGATTTAGAGCCACCTGACGGAGCAAATAACAAAACAATAGGCGACTCACCAAATCCACAAAAAATTGATCCATGGAGTATCATCACTGGGATTGTACCAGGTATGATTTTGAATAAATTTTAATTAAATTTAAAATTAAAAAGTATTCTTTATAATATTTTAAATAGTAGTGCCAATTTCGAATATCTAATGTTTCACCATCCATTAGAAAAAGAATTGCCGCATTTTGATTTTCTTCTATAGGTGAATATACGTAATATATGCATAGTACTGAGAAAGTGATGTAATGCATTAGGAATTCTTTACCAATCTTTTGAACCAAATACGTAGACTTGGACCCTCTAATATCGATAAAGTATTTTTTAAAAGATATTTGTGGACAACACTAGCGTCTAAACGATACATAGGATTTTTCCCAAAATGAATATTCCCCGATCGTTCTGGCCCGACTCGAAGCAGTGCGAATTTGAAATGAAACTTTTAATTTTTAGGGATACATTACAATACGAAACCTTGGGAAATGTTCAACATTTTCTCAAAATGTCTCCAATTTTGTATCTAAAATGTTTTTTAAATTAGGGAAAAGTGTGCTTTAATAAAGGCGTATGTCCGATTTTCATTAAAACCTGATAGACGATTGAAAAGTTCAAAGTATTTTGATTCTTGGCTGTTCGGGATCAGCCGCGTGTTAGTCGATCGAGCTGGCGATTCGACCATCGTGTTGTGGCCTTTTTCAGAGCTATACTGCCATGAATCAAATGACTTCGGCCGCAGAAGCTTTCGAATCCATTCAACGTATTTTGAATCCCTTCATACAACTCCATTATTGAACATAAATTTTTTCTAAATGAGAACCAGGGGAGATGGCTCAGAGCATCAACTGATGTCACGGCAGTGCCTATCACTGAGAGGTCCTCGGTTCGAGTCCCGACGTTGGCAGGATTTTCTACAATACCTACCTAGTGTAGATCGAATTCAGCCGCTGTCTGGAGCAGAATTCCAGCGGCCGGCTGCTCTGACCGCTAATATTCCGTGTTTTCTCGGAGCAGAACCCTAACAAGCGGACCGTGCGCAATCATCCCTCCCTCTTCCCTATCCTCGCCCCCTTACTTGCATACATTTACATGCACTATGTACCACGTACGCCGGGAGACAAGTTGGGAGCTTGTCACAGCAAGGGGTAGTGCTCCGCTGGTGTTAGATACTGGAAAAAAAAAAAAGCATGGCGACTGGTAAGTCGGGGTCATATCTCGCCATCCAGTAGGGGAAGACCATCTCCACCTCCCGCAATAAAAATGCACTATACTTACTGGACTAGTAATTCGCAGTTGACGCGCGTTGTCGGAATCACTAATCAATCAATCAAATTTTATTCAGAAAAATGTATCTTAAATAAGTATGAAGCAATGGCGTAGGCTCAATGAATGCGAATGATGTGTCGCATCGCCAAGTTTTTCGGCTCATTCAAAACGTTTGTTAAAAAAAATTCTATTCGTATATCTCTCTGTACACGTTGTTCACTCTGTTAATTTTTTCCATGCGCTTTCTGCTAAGTGTCGGTGACCTCCATTGATGTAACAGGCCGAGAAACACCCCTCGCATCTCGGACTTTTCATTGGCGCTTCTGTATTCCACTAATGTATGCGCACGCATGTTCGCCAATAGTCCTGCTCCAGAGCATGATTAACGAGATGTGCTTTATCAGTACAAAGACACCTTACCGCACGCAACTGGTTTGTTGCCATATTTTTCACATGTATTGCGAAAATGCCGAGTTTTCTTGAAAGTGCGATATCGAGTACAACACGTACTCCTACAACGAAAAAACATAGTTTAGAAACTGTAACGCGATAATTAGAATCCAACAATTTTCGTGCGAAAAGATGTGACATGACGAGCACATGGTTTGTAGAAGTGGATGCAGGAAATAATGAGTGAAAACACTCAGTCTTTTGAAAGGTTTCAAAAACTCTATTTGGTTCTCAAGTACGCTAAAAGATAACGACAAATCGCCTTCTAATTAAACAATTAGTGTGTAATGCCCATATTTTAATGTACTCGTACTTTTGTAAATTATTGTTGTGTTTATTATTGACAGAGAAAGCAATGCAAAATTAGCAATTCCCAAAGATTCTTAAAGAATGCACAGTAGGTATGTAGATTGTAATATAGAAACATATAGCACATGTCGATTGGTTTGCCTTGATTAATCCATAAAACTCTAATCGCATTCCCATGCTCACTGAGGAGACGCCACTGCTATGGACTCTCAAAAATTTGGAACTTTCGCAATTTTCGAAAATTCAAATGTTTAAAAGAAAATAAGTCCTCCGCCAAATTTAGATACGTATGTTGCCCAATTCTTGCACAAAATTTTAAGAAAAATCTCGAGCACTTTTTGAGAAGAGTTTGAAAATAACACAGGGGCTTCGTGCTTCGTTCCTTTCAAATGAAGATTAGTTTCATATTCGCAGGGCCTCGTGTCGGGCCAGATCCATCGGGAAATATTCGGTTTGAGGAAAACCCAATGTATGGACTTGACCCTAATGTTCGCAGACAGGTTTTGGAAAAGAAAGAAAAAAAATACACTGTTTCGGAAACAGCCCCGTCCCCCAAACTTTCCGTTAAAATCTCGATTTTAACGCAGCATGACGTAACTTTCTCTATGATTCATATACGAGAAAGTAACTAGTAGTGCTAACTTAAGACGGTATGCATTTTTTTCACAACTAGACTACTTCCCAGCCCTTCGAGCATCATCTTTAGATCACATAACAAGTCCCTAAGCCTTGTACACACCTAGCCACAAAGTAGCAGGACAGCTGCGATACAATGTCCCGAATCCACACCTAGAGCCAGTTCACTTCCTCTCGATTTCATCCCGTGCAGTGAGAACATTAAAGAAGTAACCAAACCATTTTAACTTGGGGTGGGGGAGAGCCCCCCCCCCCTTTGTTTGGATTCCATGTTTTTTTGCGTGCTCGCCTAAATTCTGATTTGTGTATCTTTCTGATCTCGTGAATGGCAGAGTGTATTTTTAGCCAGAAACTCCATTACTTCCATCATTTTTCCTGATTTTCTACTAGGTGGACTTAACATCTCAAAGGCAAGGAGGGTTGTGTATAAGACCTTAGTATTTTTGGAGTAGTTTTCATTGCAAAAGAACGGAACACAAAACATAACACCACGTGGCGGTTACCTTCAGTCTGCAATCAGCGTGTCTCGCGACTCGTCCACACATTATGTTGTACAACATACATTTGTATCATTATCTCATTTCGAATGAGAGTCCTTCGACATTCAATTTTTGTATCGCAGCAGTTCCAAACACGGAAAAACTGTTGTGGACGTCCCTAGGACTTGTCGCGATACAAGTGTTCCGCGATTTTGTCACAAGTGTGTGTAGCAATACTGTGTCCATATCTAAACTGTAATTCATTCACCATACCTTGTCCTGTCCGGCAACTCGATGTTATTTGATGAACTGGGTCCCTAAATCAAGAGCAAAGTTTCAAGAACCGTGAAGGGCCAAAGGTAACCTCGGCGTGATCGGGGAGCACAAGAGAGCTCTTCACTGAAAATTGTCAACGAATTGGTACTTAATGCAGTACGTCCCTCAGGCGTCGATAAAGAGATGGGGCACAACCGAAAAGAAAGACCCAACTAAAAAGAAAGGACAACTAATATTATATATAAGTCTGATACATTTTGTAGCACCACTATTTAGTTTCACATTATCTTCAAGTCTTCAAATGTGCATTACACATTTCCTATTTTATTTATATATAAACAGAAACTTTGTAAAATACTAGAAGAGAAGAAAGTCCCAAATCAGTTACTGAATGAAATACAGTCTCTACAACAACTCAAAAATTAAAATACTGTTAAGAGAGGGGGAAAAAGTTTGCAGCAATAATAACCAACAGTGGCTTAAAGCAAGGATGTGGATTATCACCCATCCTCTTCAACATATATATTAACCACTTAGTGAGAAACGGGAGAAAGAAAGTTAGACAAGGAATACAGATCACAGAAGTCAAGAAGATAGATGCAATCTTGTATGCTGATGACCAAACTATTGTAATGGATTCTGAGGATAATTTACAAAGAGCAGTGCAGAGCAAACTGACAAAAGTAGCCAAGAATATCCCATGAAGATAGCAATTCAGAAAACAAAAGTTATGGCAATATATGGCAAGGAACAAAAGAGAGCCAAAATAGTAATAAATGGAAAATAAATGGAACAAGTAAATGCATTTTCATACCTTGGAAATATAAGTGTATACAACCAAACTCAGGAAGACATAGAAAACAAACTTAATTACAATAGAATACATGGAACAATCAAGAGACGCTTTGGTAGAGACATAGACCCAAAAGAAAAACAAAAAACTCCACAATATAGCTGCTAAACCTAGAAACCTGGGCAATGAAAGAGAAGGACAAACAAAACCTACAGGCAGCACACGAGATGTCTAAGCCACCTCATGGGAATCACAAGAAGAGACAGACTAAGAAATAAAGACATTAGAAAGAAATTGGAAACCAAATGTTTAATAGAAGAGATAGATAGAACAGTCTCAAAGGAGTTGAAAAGATCATTTACAGAGAATGAACACCAGATTTCCAAAATTAATCTGGAAGTACAAACCAACAGGGATCGGAGATAGAGGGAGTCCACAAAAAGGTGGCAACAACAGGAACACGCAGAAGACTATGAATCTATAAATACTGTAATAAACCAATAGAAACAGACAATAGAGCCGAGTAGCTCGACAAATGTTTATGAATAAACAAAACTGTACTTCATAATGTAATAAAAGTGTAAGATCTTTGAAACAACAAAATATTAAAAATTCATTTTCTTTTTGCCAATCTCTCAATTTTTATTAGTCTTCTACATTTAAATGAAAATTTGCCAAATTCAGAAAGTGCTTAACATTTTTTTTCTCTCTCGGAACTTCTTGGATTTTTCTTTAAACTCTCTGTCCAGATAGAACCTATTTCACCCACCAAGATTTCAGTTTCACTTTTCCGAACACTTATTAAAAGTAATCTAATGAATTAATTTTTGGAAATAATGAACATTTCATTTTTTCTACTTCATATGATTCATAAATATTTATATAATTCACGATAATAAATCAATCAAAGGGAGCACTCTAAAGATGTCCTATAAGTTTTTTGACAATTTAAAAACAATTAGATAAACACATTTTCAAAAATACTGAAATTACATAATGACTCTGAAACAACATTTTTAATGTCACATACTCACACACCAGATATACTACAGTCCCTGGCCATATTATTAGACGCACCCTAAATTTTCAATAAAATTCACGTTTTTGTGACGAAAAATGCATTTTTTTATTTCTAACAAAATATATAAGTAATAATTGAATACTTACGATAGAAACAAGATATCATATGCAAAATATGACTGTCAGTATAATATATAAACTAATTTTCTTAAAAAATCTCCATGCACATGTATTTCTTTAATACTTTGTCAGGCCACCTTTGGCGGCTATTAGAGCTTTCATTCTTTTTGGTATTATATTAATGCATGCCTGGACAGTTTCTTGCAACTCTGGATGATGGTACCAGACTTGAATTATTTTCAAGGTGGCGAATTTTTGTTGTTATTTCTTAATTTGCGATTTCCCTCTTTATGTGCTCCCAAACATTTTCTATTGGGTTCATATCTGGTGAATTTCCTGACCATGGTAGCACAGGAACATTTTTCTCCAACAAAAATGATCGAACTGTTCGAGCAGTATGACTTGGAGCCCCATCTCGCATAAAAACAAATGATTCTTCATTTGAAAACCATTCCAGTAGTTGAGGCAGTAGTCGTTTCTCCAATACTTGTTTGTACTTTGTGTTGTGTCTTGTTTCATGATGCCCTTAACCAAGTACAGACCCCGTGCCATTGCCACTGATCACTGAGCAAATCATTGCCTAGACTGGATGTTTCACAATCCGGATGACACAATCTGAATGATACTTTTCACCAGGGCACCATCTCACAAATTGATGCTTGTTTGCTAGAATTTCGAAAGTGCATTCGTCGCTAAAAGAAACCTTAAATACAAGTAAATGACATTAGAATTAATTTTGGTAGCCATTTATAAAAAGGACTAGACTAAATTTTTACAGATTTCCAGAAGTCCAAATCTTTATTCTTAAGGTTCTTAGCCCATGCAACACGTTTTTCTTTAATACCAGCTGATAATCTGGGTTTGTGGGCTGGTCTACAAACTTTAAAATTCATTTGTAGTAGTGTACACCTTACTGTCCTTTCAGATACACAGATTCCACTACTTTCCAATTTAAATTTAATTTGTTTAGTAGTAGCAAACCGATTTTCATGGCAAATCTTCCTCAAACATCTCTCAGATCTTGGTGAAAATATTCTCTTCCATCCACACGTGTTCTTTCTTCGTGGGGATAATTCTTCACTAAGGACAATTTTTTTTCTTAATTCGCCGAATAGATGTCTCGGATACGTTCAACCTTCGAGGTAACTCACGATTTGAATAATTTTCTGAGTCGACAAAAGCTTTCACTGCTGCGATCTTCCGACGAGACAAATCACTTGCCTTTCCCATTATTTTTATTCAAAACTATCAGTTTTTCATATACAACAATTCACAATTTTTAAATAAACACAGCTATACCTATTTCACAAACTAATAAATAAAAAATAAACCATCTTCATGCAACAACACACTACTCATGTCACCTCTTGTTCTACTCAACTCTTGTAATTTGTGCGTCTAAGCAACAATGAGGTGTCACAACAATGGTACATAATGACAAATAATGTGTTAATTATTAGAAAAAGAAGCTTTGTTTTTATTGATTGATTCGCAACAACGCCAGATGTAATGTACTGCAGTGAGAGACCTCAAAACTTAACATTTTGTTAAAAATTTGGAGTGCGTCTAATAATTTGGCCAGGGACTGTACATCAACCCTTACCCTCCCCAAAATCCTGCAATGTTATCCCAAAAAAGTATATTTAGTAAAATCCCTTGAAAAATAATCACTTTTTCTTTGGACCAACACCATCCTTAATAACAATAACATTATAAAGGAGGCTAAACCATTTTGTTATTTGGCATTGCCAGATAATTTTGTCATGTAATAAATGTAAAAATAAAACAGCATCAAGTAATTTCTTTCACTAATTTGTTTATTTTGTTTTGTTTTATGTTTGTTGCTTTCAGGAACTAAGTGGTGTGGGAATGGAGACATTGCCAGTACATATTTTGATTTAGGCTATTTCACAGAGGTAGACAAATGCTGCAGGGCACATGATATATGCCCTGTCAAAGTTCGAGGATTCGAAACACGTTATAACATAAAAAATGTTTCCTTTTATACAAAGTAAGTGCTTCTCGAAATAAAAATGCACTATATGTGTTAATGGAGTGAGCTAAAATTATTTGAAATGCATTTTATAGTATTAATGTAACGAATACATTTGCTACAGGTCCCACTGTGACTGTGACACAACTTTTTACCAATGTCTGAAAGCTACACAACATCCTGCAGCCAATTTGATGGGAAGATTTTATTTCAATCTACTTAGAACCCAGTGTATAGAAGACATTCAATCCAGCACAAGCAATGAACCAAAGAGGATATTTCGACCTCCGAAACATATTTACTAGAAAGATGAGAAGAAAGATATGACCACCCTTGTATATATATTTATTTATTATAAATAATGAAATCATTAATTTACATAATGTACAATATCTGTATATTTTGACAGAAAATAAACACACAATCTTCAAATTTTGGATAAAGCTTCTTTTAATCTGTCTCCAACTGACAAAATAAAACCACCAGCTTCAGGGCAACATTTCACAAGGTTTCCCAAGAACCACAGGGTCTCCCTCTGCAAATGCTCATGTGGAGAGGCAAGAAGGCCATTTATTGCTGTCAAAAAGTCAACTGATTGAATATCTAACAACAACATAATTTCACTGATTGCTTGCTTTGATTTTTCACCACATAAATTTGCCAAAATTCTCACAAGTGCAGTAACATCAGATGGTTTAGGAGCTTTGTTTGTATTCACCAAGTTTACCAACAGGTCGAATGTACACGATGTTACCATATTTAAAAGAAACACTTCATTCGCAGCTTGTGAACATGACAACAAATATATCAACCAGTAGACAGACGAATCTCTTCCAAGCTCAGAATATACATGGTCAGCAATCATTCTGAACTCATTTGATCTGCAAAAGGACGCTTTTTGTAAAATCTTCAATACACACACACACAAAAAAGAAAGCTCTTGCTACCTCTTTCCAAACATTTATTAGACTCCATTCCCTAAATCTTCCTCTGCACTCTAAAAAGATGTACTACAGACTCAAAAGATTTCATGAAGTATATTTTTTTAAGTAAAAAATCGTTCAGAACCATGCTTGGGAAGTCCTATCTCCTCTATAAAGAAGAACTCTGATTATGAACCAAAGCCTCGCGAATGGTTCATGCTCTGTGACTTCAAACATATGTCTACATGAACAAGCTAAGATACAAAAATCATTAATATACTTTAGAAACTAACTTACATCTTAATATCATGCTTTGTGAATGCATTTATAAGAAAACGTTTCAAGTTCTATATTGCTTGTTAATCCTATCACACATAGGAATTAAAATTAAGCAATAAAGTTAATTTATTTTAACACTATTTTTTCTGCCCTTCATTTCAAATATTATGTATTCACAAATTATGTATTAAAAAAACAACAACAACGTATTCTTCTTCTTCTTCATATTCTTACAGGTCACAAAAGTATCAAAAGTACTTAGCCTTTAAGGACTCAAAATGTTGAAATCTATTTACATGGCACATTCAAATCACTTGAAACATTGCAGAAGTCTGCTTTTCACTAAATAACAGGTGGTGTGTATTTGATTTGATTTAGATGTACAGGACTAATAAAATTTCTGATTAGAAATTCTACAGCCCCCTGATCATCTATGGAATTCTTTCAACTGAGCTCCTATTCTACTAAACAACATACAATAAAAAAAATATATTTCTGTAATTTTGTAAAAATAGATTCTGACAAAGAAATTCAACTACATGAAGGTATTTGATATTTAAATTTGATATTGATGCACTATTTAGATTTACACAAACAATTATATATTCACAAAATTGTAAAACCAAACACATACTTAAGAAAACCGAAAACCAGAATACATAGAGAAAGTAATTTTAAAATTGATAGCAAAAAAACAAGAAACTTACGAAAGATTATCAAATCCCATTTTCACATACAAAGTGGTGGCGTAAATAGCTGATTGTTTCACATCAGAGTTGGGCGATGCAATAAAATGAAGGTACTTGTTCAAAACTCCATGGGATTTAAGAATAGTCCATGATTTCATACCACTTCCTGCCATATTACCCAATGTCCACAGACATACATCCTTAGAAGAAAAAAAAAATTAAATTGCTTCAAAGTCTAAGTTTTTGTCTCAATTTTTTATCATTTGATCACTCACCAAATATGTGGTATTGAGCTCATTCAATGTTGATGCAATATATGAAGCAGATGATTTTGTAAGTTGATGACATAATTTCTCATTAGCTAAAGATAAGTTACAGCAACAATTCAATGCAGCAAATTGAAACTCTGAATTATGACCTAAAACAAAAAGTTGAATTATTAAGGTATAAAGTTAGAATACTAACACAAAAATTACAAAGCCAAAAATCAAAATGCACCTGAAAGTTCTCTCACAAGTCCATGAAGAGCTCCTGGAACATTCAAGAAAGCAACTATGTTTTCTTGAGACACAATGAATGATTGTTTCAATTTTTTCAATTCCATGAGTGAAACTTGGTTTTTCTGCTTTAATTTGGATGCTATTTCCACCACTTCTTTCAGGTCATAATATGAGATGCTTTCAGACACCTGTCCCAGAGCACTGCGATTTCTATTTAATACGTCGCTTCGATTACTTTTTCTTTCTCTTCTACTTTCCTCTCTCAATGTTGTGCGAATAACTTCTATCGGGCTCCCCTTAGCAATTTCCATGGTTTTTAGGGACTGCAAAGTTGGAAAGTATATTAAGACAAGTGTAATAATAAAGATATGCTCAATTAACTTGTTTTTTCTGCTTTAATTTGGATGCTATATTTACACAAGTATAATAATAAATAAATGCTAAATTAACTTCTTTTTGTTTTGTTTTTTGCTTTAATTTGGATGCTATTTCCGACACTTCTTTCAGGCCATAATATGAGATACTTTCAGAATCCTATCTCAGAGCACTGTATAATAATAAATAAATGCTAAATTAAATAAACACACATTAATAACAGAAGTATAAAAAAATGAAAATACACAGCAAAGTACAAATTTTGAATGTTCGAATTGTTAATGATAAAGCTAAGGATAATTCATCACAGTCAATAATGACTATGAAATTGAAAAATAATAACAGAAAACTAAAGAGGCATCAGTTTAACTTCTTTCAAATCTAATTTCTGTAGGAAAAATTGTGAAGTGGCAAAGTTGTTCGACACACCCATTACAATATATTCATAGGAAAAAATGTGGGAATGCAATTCCTCACAGGAAGTTTAATAACAGCAATTCATTCCATAATAAACCTAGAAAGAATACATTTTTATGACTTGAATTATACACGCCTACAGTGTAATTGGCCACACCTTAACGTACTTCAATACCTTCGAGACCACTTGTTATGAACACTTTTCGTCTCCGCCCGCGCGTTGTAAGTCACCGCCCACAATTGCACGCACTCGACCACCAGACGGTCACTTGTCATCGTCTTGGACAGTATCTCACAGTTCTACCACTCTTCAATAGATAAATAATTGAGCATAGAGCACCAGGAGATTCTCAGTGGAGAGCACTAATGAGGAAAAGTCATTAAGAGAAAGAAAAGTGTATGTCGAAATCAAGAAGTACGTACGGTTCTGTGTATTATGCATAACCATCCACTAGGTCGCACTATGTTCTGCCGGAAAAAAAACCCAAGATAGCATATATATGGTGCCAATGAAAGAATGGACTTATGACAATTGATTATAAGTAATTCTTATAACAAGAATGGTACTTAAATTATTTAATATTTACTACCGACTGCAAGTGATGTAGGGATGGGAGTATGAAAATATAAAATAGATAATAGTCCCTCTTGTATATCGAGGTTAACCCAGAATGGCGTAAATCAGCAGAAAAACTGTTGGCATAATTACTTAGGATATGCTTTCTTGTATGGAGAGGAGGAGGGCACACATTTTTACGTTACCTGGCCCTGAATAAGGTAGAGAGTGTTGAGTTCTGCTAATAATACTCAAACTCAAGTATGCCTCGAAATTTCTTTTCGTGTTGAATAAGAGAAAGAGAAATTTAAATTTGCGATCTGATTTAACCACACCATACTTAATTGCTCTGAAATAAAACCATGCTCTGGAATAGGTGTATTAAAAAAATTATTGTCAGAAATGTAGACCAAGCGCAACTGGGGAACTAAACCTGAAGAAGTCCTAGTATTTAATCCTTACGAAACAACAACAACAACAACAAAAAAAAAGGGTTTTAAAAATATTTCTTTTTAGATTTTTTAAAACAAAATGCTTATTTATGTAGTCTACTTTTGTTCAAATCCAAAAGTAGTACACACTTTGAATAAAATCTTGAGTAAAAAGCGTGATAACATTCCTTTTTTTATAGTTGCTGATTAGATAAACTGAAACAATCAAGCTAAATTTAAATAACCCTTTTCTAAAATTAAATTTATTGGTATTTTTAATACTATGATCAATCCTAAGATAAAGTATTTAACATTGTGATCAAGCTGAAGCTTTAAAATAAATGTTGTTGTTAGTTGTTATGACAACCAAACAAGTGAGGCTGTGATCCTGCTTTAGTACATCTACACTGAGGTTAACTATTGTAAAAGAAATCCAGATTTCTTGAAATATTTACATTATGAACCAAGTTAGCTTTATTACTGTCAACTTACATAAATGTTTTCTGAAATTTTGACTTATGGCATAAGTAGTTATTTAATGATAAAAATTTAAGAGTGAGAGATCCTTCATTATAAAATTGTATAACTATTTTGTACCTTTGAAATGGCTAAGAAAGGAAAGGGAAAGAAAGGCAAGAAGGGAAAGAAAGAACCAACAGAAGGGATTACAGAAGTTGAGAGGGAACTTTTTACGATTCAAATTGCAGATTTAACAGCAAAGGTTGAGAGGTATGTTTTTGATGTCAGATATTAAAACATGAAATTTGAAGCACTGAACATTTATGTTTCAATAGTTTTTAATAATAACCTTTAAAATAGTCTTCATATTCTAGTATCTTTTTGACAGTGAAACCAAAAAGAGATATTGATAATATTATATACTAGTCATAAATATTTTCTTACCGTACTTCTCAAAATATAAAAAGTGTAAGATAATGGAGTGGGTTATTTTTGTAATATGTAAAAATTAACTTTTTCCAAAGTCCAGATGAAATTGAGTAAACTTTTTTTGTTGTTGTTGCTCTTTCAAATTGAAGAGGTTATTGAAACTTACAAAATATTTCTTTACAACAATAAAATAATGATTATTCCTAGTAATTTTTTTATTTCAAATTAAATTTGAAATTAAGTTTTTGAATTTAATTTCCTATTATATTTTCATTATCAGTTTATTTATTTATTAATTAATTTTTTAATTTAATTTTGTACACTTAAATATCCACCTAGATAATTCTTAAAAGCTTGATAAACAACTACTTTTAATATTGTGCTTCTTTTGATGTACCTTTTGAAATTCTATTACTTTTGATATATCTTTTGAAACAAACAATAATTTTCATTTTTATTTTCTTTTTATAATCAGATTAAAAGCAAGGTGTCTTGAGCTTGAAGCAAGCAATGTTGAATTTGAAGAAAACATTAAACACCTTGATGAAGATCGAGGTGATGTTATCACCTACCTCAGAACTCAAGCAGATCAAAAGCAAGATGAAATAGAAGAATTAGAAGAACGAGTGGAAGGTCTCATAAGGGTATGTGAGCTGAATCACTGGCTGAAAGGGTAATTTAAATTCAATAATCTGATTTAACTTCACCATACATATTTACTCTGGAAGTATTCATTTAGTTTTTAAGAAATGCATCATGCTTTCTTGAAAGCTATTATTAATAATATTAATACTAATAATTTAAGATTACTGATATTACCATGGTTTTCCCTTTACTTCTTTTATTTCATGGCAGTGCTGGAATACCAAAGCTACATTTATTATTTTTTGACTTTCTAATTTACGTACATACATAATTTACGTACGTACAGAGTAATATACTAAGTAGTGTAGAGAAAGTTATGTAATGCTGTGACAAAAAGTGGCAATTTTTTCTCCTTTTCTTCCCAAGAAATTTCCCCTCCACATGACTTTTATTGTAGTTCAGTATTGAACTACATGACTGATTACCCTCCCCCCTTACACACACACACACACCTTTTAATTTTAATAATTTCAATTTTTCTTTTCCTCTCTTAAATATTTACTAGTATGATTTCTTTTCAAACTATCCATGTCCCTTTTTCAGATATCTTCAGATGTTGCACGAGTATTTTCTCAGAATTCAACATTTGCTGTGATATTATAAGGTGCTCCAGATAATTGTTGTTACAGATATTTCCTTTGTATCTAAATTTAAATTTGTTGATGTTTATAAATTGCTAATAGTTACTCGTTAAGTAATATTATTTTCTGACTTTTTCAATTATCTTCACTAACTCTGGTACAATTTCTTTTAGGATTCCTTTCTTTTACAATCTTTTTTTGCTCTACCTTTCTTCATGAATATGTTGAAAAGAGGTGTAGGAAGCAGACAAATGTGTCTTATTCCTTTCTTTACCCTATTAATATTCATGTATCTCCATCTGATGTTTGTTCCTTAAATAACTGAAGTATTTTATATCTCCCCATTCTAAGTTCATTGTCCCTGTCATTTTTAGAAGAAAATTTTTCTAAGTAATACTTTGATTATTCACATTACAGTAACATGTGCAATGTCAATAAAGTTTTAAATGCTACAATGCAATTGGTGTTTTATTGTTCTTTAGGCACGAGAAAATGATGTAAGCATGTACAAGGAAATAATCAGACAAAGTGAACATGATTTTAAGATCATGCATGAACAACTTACTTCAGAAATTAAACTTCTTAGTAAGTATCAATTAACCTTCAGTAAAATCTGTGTGATCTTCAGTAACATCACCTTCAGTAAATCATCTTCAGTAAATCAGTCACCTTCAGTAAAATCAGGTGAATCTTCAATTCACCAAATGTAATTACATACTTCATAATTTATGTGTTTTGTATAAAAAACAAAGGACCTTTAAACTGAGTGAGTTAATTTCAAACTTTTCATGGAGTTTCATAATTAACAAAAAAGTATTTTCAAAAATAAGGATCAAGCAACTGGTTCTAGTTCTTAGTAAATCTCTCTTTGATTTTATATTGTTCCAAACACCACATAGAAATAAAACTAATGTACGGGGCATGTAATGTTTGAAAGCATGGAAAAAAATGAGTGAAGAGTTTATTAAGAAATGTATATTCTTAAGAAAAATCTTATTTACAAAGATAATAATTAAAATAGTCATTCATCATACTGGAGTCAGTATTCAAAATACCCATCAGGTCACAGACTAAGTTCATCTTCCATATTGATGAAAAGTTTTAATCCCTCTAATCAACCCCATAAATTTTGTTTGTAACCCAGAATTTAGGAGGGTACTTCATTTCTATTTAGTCATTGTAATGAAAGTTGATAAATAGAAGTAATAAGAATAAAACTATTAATCAATCATCATTTTCAATGAGTATTCTAAATTATTGTTATTTATTGGAAGAAATTATAAAAGGAAAAACACACCACACAACACAACACAACACTCACAGCAGTGTAATTTGTGTACGTTTTCTGAAGCTCTGGCATTCCTATGCAACTTGTATACATGCTAAGTTAAATTATGAATAGGCCTGCAGGTAGCAATAAGTGTTTTTAGCATGAATTTATAAAAAAAATTATTCGTGTTAAAAAAACTATTTGGAAAGGCCGATGAGTTAGAAGCTTAGAACATTATCCTTTATTGTGCCCTACATGAAGGAATCATTTTACTGCCTCAAGACCATGGAAAAGGATTATATAAATTACTATATACCCCACTGAGCTCAATATAATATGCATAGAGAGTGAAAGTACAATAAATCTTTCTTTCATTCATGCTTTCCTCTACGGTTTAATAATATAAGGCATTACTAACAGTGCTGCACATTTCAGCTGGAAAGCTTAACTCACTGGAAGACTTCCGTTTACAACGAGATGATTTGGTGAAGAAGTTTAAACTTCAAGAAGAACAAATGGGTGTTCAGGATGAAAAACATAAACAAATTATCTATGAAGTAGAGAAAAAGTTCATTATTGCTAAAGATAAGTAAGTATAAATACAGAAAAACATTATTACACTACTGAATTTAAATTTTATTCTTCACAAGTCTAGAGTTACTTTACAATTGGAATCAAATATAAATGCACACAAGTAGTGGTATGAACAATTTTTGAAAAAACTACAATTATTTTCTTGTAATTTCTTTGAATTTTTATAATGTGTACAGTGTCTGCGTAACATTTACTTTTGTATTTTTTATCATCATGAGCTTCATAGTCATCATTTATCTTGACATTTCTCTTTTTTCTGAGTGGTGTATAACAATAGTCCTGCTTATTCACATTCTTTGTAGATGATCATTACAGTTCTTTCTTTAAGCTTTCAGATTGTTTTATATACTGCTAATCCCAAATCTTTTTTTATTTCATTTTGGATTTTATTATTAATCTACAACCCTTGACAAACCTCAGGAATCTTATTTCTTTTGCAATCATTTTTATGTCTTTTCATGGATATTGTTACTCATGTTTCACACCCAAATAGGGCACTAGATGATCTGTAGTGTTGTACAGTTGACAGGATGTGAATTGGCAATTTTCTCCAGAGGGGGACATTCAAAATTCCTGGAGGGGATGAATAGAAGAATTGATAAATGAAACAATGACCATCTTTGTTTATGCAAGAGTCTGAATGAATCCTAACAATGCCCTTGGGAGTGTTATTTTGTGCAATTTCCTTCTTTTGGATTCCTTAGTTTGAAAATTTCATAGTGGGGAAAAGATAAGTAAGGCACCTAATATGGACCCCTGGTAAAGAGATAACAATTTTCTAGCAGGAGACATCGAACTCTCTAGGCAGCATCCCCGCTCCCCCTGTGAATTCGCATCCTCACAGTTCAAGTTTAGTTCCTTACAATGTCCTTTTACTTGTGATATAAAAGGTTGAGTAATTGAAATTTAGAAAATTTTTGCTATCATTTTTTAAGTTTATCTGGTGCATTTTATTGCAATAGAATGTAAATTAATATGAATTATAGAGTGATAGAATATAAAACAAATGACTATAATGATAAAATACAGACTCTTGATAAAATTTTCATATAAAAATAACAAATCTATCCAAAATGTTCTAATTTAAAAGGCTGAAGAAGGAAATGGAAGGAAAACTTCTCCAGTTATCAAGCAATTTCTCTGATGCAACAGAAATACGAATTGCAGCTACCACTCATCATGCCATACGGGAAAACATTGCTATAAATAATGAGGTATTTGCTCTTATTGTAATAAATTTTAGAGACTGAACCCAATAACCATGCATATAAAACAGTTTGTACTGAATAGCTGTTATTATTTGTAGTTAGACAGAATAATAGCTACCCATAATAAATTAATGGCTGAAAATGAAAAAATAAAAAATTATGACAAAGAGCTGAGGCAAAAATTTGAGCTGGTTGAAGAAGAAAAGCGCATACTTCTTAGGAAGAATTCAGTTCTTCTAAAGGTATGTATTTCACATACATTTTAAGGAGATGAATTACACATTTACTTTTAATATATACCTATTTGATGTCTATATTTCATTGTGACTCTTGGGATAAAATAATATTAAGTTGTTTTGTGAATTGAAGCTGACTTCTGTGATCTTATTACATTTTTTTAAATGCTGAATAAACAAGATTCTTTGTGGCTACATTAATTTGCTTGTTCTTCTTTGCAGTTACTGAATCGTCTTGCTAGAGAACATCAAGACATGGAAGTATTTCTAGGTGAATTAGAACGTGAGGCTCAAGTTTCTGAATTATGTCAGTTGAAACTTGAAGAAGCAGAGCGAGCCCTGAAACAAGCTCAACTTGAAACTCGGTTTGAGACTCAGAAAGTGCATGGTGCACTCTATGAACAACAAGAACTTAAAATGTTAGCAGATGAAGCCAAGTTGCGAGGAGATAAGCTTAATGCAGTGGTAGAACAATGTGTCAGTGCAATTCAGGAAGTAATAACTGTGAGTATTTCAGAATAACATGAACCCTTTTTTTTTCTGGTTGACTAAAAAACAAAACTCATATTCTTGTGATGAATGCATTAATAGTATCACATACAAAGCAGTTGTAGATTTTGTCATTACTTCTGCATTTTTTCTTATTTTTTCAATACCTTTTCTATCATAGGTGAGATCTACAACAGAGTTTTCCAATATTTTTTTAACATTACCCTTTCTATCACAAGATTTTGTCATTACTTCTGCATTTTTTTATTACCCTTTCTATCATAGGCAAGAACTACAGCAGGGTTTCCTGTTATTTTTTGGTCCCAGACCTCTTTTGCTGAAAATTATTTAAGCCATTGATCCCTAACAAAAAATTAATTAAATTACGTAAAATAAATGTGATATTGCTTGATATTAAGTAGTACACATACAACCCATTTTACACAGCAACTCACTTTACCACTGTGTGTGACTTGGAAACAATGCTTTTTAACAGTACAGAAAATTTAGTTTTATTCACTTGTTGATTAATAATTGAAAAACAAATATGTTACATCAAGTTGACCTTATAATTTGTCATATTTAATATTGAAAACTTTCACTAGCAAAAAGTAAAACCATCGGTTAGACCCCAAGCAACTTAATTAAAACTAACAATCCCTAAAAAAGTTCAATTCTATACCATGGGGTCAATATTGACCTCTTCAAGAATGACTGATCTACAGTATTCCTATTTGAAAAAAAAAACACTTATTATAAGTTCCTATTCAATGTACATTTACCTATCAAACTCAGTCAATGGTCATTTTTCAATTTAAGAAACAAAACTCTACTGATTACTAATTCATTCACAAAAGACACTATCAACCTTTTGAAATGTTTAATTAATGATTTTTGAGTATACATGCAAAAATCTATAATACTTCCCAATTTTGTAGGTCACTGAAGGTCAAGATGAAACTAGTATGCTTCAAGCTCGAGAGACCTTGTTATCTCGTCTTCTTACTTTGATGGATTCATCAACACTTCAATATATTACAGTACCTCCTCCGTAAGTATAACATCAAGTTCAGTTAATACCCTTTATAAATAATATGTTTAAGAAAAATTATGGTTTTATACCTTTTATGGCAATTCATCAACCCAAATCTCCATAAGTATGACTGCCAAATTTTCCCCTCGTCTTGCATTAAACAAGATTAAAGACAAAAGAAATAGTTCATAGATTATGGGGGGGAAAAAGCAGCTGCACATGCAATCCACAATAACAGTACATGGCAAAGCACTTAATCATTGTGCGTAACTAAGAAATGATGCAAACTAAGCTCTTAAAACTGGGTTTATGGGATACAAGTTATGTTTCTGAAGCCATTTTCTACAAAAGTCCATTCTGAACCATCTTTTACATTTTTGGAGATTTAGTTCTTCAGTGTACTTCAAGTCCCTGGCATATGTGGTTAAAAAAGAGGTGAAACTTGAAATCTATACAAAATTAAATTGAAGGAATAGAGATACAGATAATGTTTTATGATAATTAAAGTGGCTTTTTGACTTCCGGTGCAATTTAATATGAACACTTGGTTATCTTATTTATTATGTTTATTTGCTTAAAATACTGGCCTATGATACTGCTGTAACACACAGATAAGTGGGCCATCAGTTCAATGTTGTGACAGTGAGAAGCTGTTTTTACTTTTAACGCAATGATTTACTGTTTGCTTTTATTATTGGAGGTTATTAGCACATGATTAACATTAGTACATGATCTGGTAAGTGCCAATGCTAAGATTATTGTTACCCAAGATGAAAATGATCTATAGTTTAGATCTGCTTTTAAATCTGCTGTGGGAACATACGGACTGTCAATAAGGGACTTCCGTGTTGCTGATTTAGCAGCCTGGCCAGCTAGCTCATAGTCTATGATTCCCACATGACCCGGGACCCAACAAAGTACGAGGCGATAGTGGCGGGACTATAGACGGTGAGTCACGTGTTGTATTCGCCATCAATGGTCCGAGGGAGAAAAAGGTTAGTTATACATATATATATATATATATATTTGTATATGTATATATATATATATGTATATAGTGTAAAAGATGTTTAGGAGAATGGTGCAGATCTCATTTTAGTTGAAACCTCTAATTTTTCAAAAATTGCAAAAGTTCAAAATTTTTTTGTGTCTTCCTACAAGTAAAATATTAAAGATAAAGATTTTTTCCCTTTATAAAATCTGTTCCTTAAAGATAGATTTTGAAGTAAGGTCATGTACAATTTTTTTATTTTTGCCAAGTAAGGTCATGTACAATTTTAGTATTTTTAATTTTGTGTGAAAATAGGCAATTTTTACTTTTGTTTAAACAATTTTTTTAAGTTTTTGTGCAATGTTGGTAAAATATGTGTATTATTAAGAAATACCAAAAACAAGATTTTTTGAAAACTTATTTGGGAATTAGAGAAAGATTACTATGGTGATTTGCAGAAAGAAAAGGAGGAGGAGAAGAAAAAAATACTCTGTACATATCAACACAGTAGGTATCTATAAAAGGAATGAATAGGACATTACCATAGTAAGTTATGGTTTGACCAGGATGGAGAAGAGCATAACACAGAAAGAAGAGAAGCAGGACAGGAAATCCAAATGACTGATGGAATTTTGTCTAACTTACTGAACATCTCAGAGAAGATAGAATGAAGGATTTGAAAAGCTCTTGAAGTTGTGGGAAATAGTAAAAGCCCTGAGAGTAGACAATGCAGCCGCAGTCAGCTACTACTTGGCTGTCCAGGAGACTCTGCGTCCTAGGCACAGGTGTCAATGTTACCTTCCTCAGAGCGAAATGATGACGCATTTTGCTCTGCAAAAGGTCGCAGAATGGCGATCAAAACATTGGTACATACGGTCCAAGAGATGGGGAGACTGAAAAACCTTAATTCTGATGAGTTGTCATAAATACCTTAGTGACTACAGAAATACTGATTCAGAAGGAAGGAGGTTATAGGCCCTACAAACTTCAACTTTAACAGTTGTTGATGGTGATGATGAATAGCTAAGGAAAAAACCTTTTAAGGGTAGGAGACAAGTAATTGTTAATATATTAGAGATTGACAAAAAAATTTACAAAACAAATGATTTAGGTAGTTTACAAAATAAATGAGTGCAAAAAAAAGGATAGTATGATAGAAGAAAACTAGAACATACATTTTTGACTCCAGTGAATAAGCAGATAATAAGTCATGAAAATTTAATTTTACAAGAGAGCAAAAAACATCTTTTAACTGACTAGGTACTGTAGGATGAGCTTCCCCCCAAAATTATATTTTATTTCTGTTGGGAATGTACACAATAAATACACATAACAAATTGCATGAAGACTGACAGAATTTGAAAGAATTCTGAATGCATAATGTAATAAACTTAATTTAGTGTTTAATTCTGTTATATAGATATTCCATTTGAGGTTTGACTAAATTGCGGGACCCAGAAATACTGTCTTAACATCAACCCATTGCATTTAGTTAATTTTCAGTGGTGCATGCAATTGCCAGTTTGAAATGCAAAACTGCATTGAATCTGTTTTTTCCTGTAAACCTTTAATTTATTATTATGTTAACTATGGCATTTTCAATTTATTTTGTTTCAGAAAGGAGAAGAAGTCAATGTATGAGACTGGAGACCTTGGATTGGTGCCAAAAACATCTTTTACCTCCATTTCTAGATCAGGAAGTGGTTCAGTAACATCAGTAAAGCAAAAGTCATCCTCTATTTCATTTAAATCAAAAAGCGGTGACTCAAAATCATCCAGAGCATCACAAAAGGAATCAGATGAATCTCAAAAAACTGGTACTTCGCAAGATCGACCATCTGGAGAAAATGTTCCAAACAGGACATCCTTAAGAATAAGAGAGTCATCGAGACCTTCAGGTGAATTGCAAATGTCAGGTGGGCGTAAGTCAACAAGAAAGAGTGGCCTGGAAGATGTCATTAAGGAAGAAGGAGAGGCTAAGGTTGAATTTGTGGAGCCAAAACAGACTGAAGATGAAGAAGTTTAAAAACAGGCTGAAGTACAAGAAAATGAAGATCTCAATTCCACAAAAATAGCTTTCAGAATAATCACATGCGTAAAATTTCCATGCAGCTCTGCAGGTCATTACTAATTTCTGATATTGTAATTGAGAATACAACTCACATATTTGGCATTAGCACTGTTATAATTTTTGATTGTATATAAAACTAAGATTGCACAAAATTATGGACGCAAATGAAATAATGAAGAAGATAATTAACAAATAATACACTGTAGAAATGGATGTGGATTAAAAAATATTAGGTTACAGAGAAATTGTAAAAATAACATATTCTTAGGACAAATTATTGTGAACCTCAAGTACTTTAATCTACACTATACCTTTTAGTACTCGGTCTTTGGTATGATGGACCAGTTTGCAGATGTCAAGAGTTTTAACATAACAGAATTTTATTATTCTTTCACTATTTTACAGGGTTGCTTACTTAAGATGTTCACCTCAAATACCTCTGCAACTGTTGCAGATGCGGTATGTGAGGGCCACATATGATGTATCATATTATCCATTTTTGGGGGGGTCTTTAGCCCTTGATCACATGAGTTCATTCATATGTGTGTGACATAACAATATTTTTTAGAAATATAGAATTTTTGTGATGTAGGTGAAGTCTTAATATTCCACCACTACCACAAGGGTATTCTGTTCTACAGTGTAGGCCCTGGGGGCTGAAAACATTGCAATGCCAAATCCAGCAGGGTGAGTCCACAAAAACATGTGACAAGCACTTTGAGATTATTGTTGTTGCAGACATCACAGTGCTCTGAGCAACAATTCTTTTACAGTGAAATGCTATCGGATTTGACCATAATATTAAATTTTAACTCTTAGCAAAGGAAGGGAATAGTGAAAAGAGGGATATATAGCTATATACGACTTGGTCATATAGAGATCACTGTGATTGTTTTAACAGTAGTGGAACTGTATGAAGAACACGTAAGGATAACACAAATACACACAATTATCCATTCCATAGGCGGGATTTGAACCCATGACCCTTTGAACTGAGACAGCTATGGCCCTTCAACCTTAGCGTCCTTGGCTATCCAGGCCAGCTTAGAGAATATTAAGTTAGTGTGTGTTGTAAAAACTAAATTTCTCAAAAATATTGTTATGTAACATAGGGTAGCATGCATGTATATGAAATTATCTCTTAATCCTGATTCTTGAGGGCTTATTTAAAAAATCAAAGTTGTGGTGATGTGTCTACATAAAAAAACTTCACTTATATATTTTTCAGAGGAGTGAAGCGAAAAAATGTATAAGTGAAAAAATCACATAACTGAAATTGAATATAATGAGCAAAATAAAAACTCCAATTTTGCACTACCACTTCATTAGAAAAGATATTATCAAAAAAGAAGAGTTCAAAATGCAGTTTAAAAAATTACTAATGAAAAACGTCTGTGATCTTGGTCTGTTTAACATTATCAGCTCGCAAGGTACACACTTCCCCCTCCAAATGTGATAGCTCTCCCATCTCCTCATCTGTGACACTGTGTTCCATAATGAACTTTTTAACAGTTTCTAATGCTGCTATGGCTTCACTGAAACCTACTAAATTTATTTCATTATCTTCCACTTCATCATCACTGTCTTCATCATCTTTGTTGATTTCACTCACAACATCCTCAATGGACCTTAGTCCTGATGTAACCACATCTTTATCTACATCCACAAATTCTGTGAAGTCTGTTTGATCCACAGGTAAATGCTGCAATGGCTTCACTGAAACCTACTAAATTTATTTCATTATCTTCCACTTCATCGTCACTGTATGTAGACACATCTCCCCAAGCCAACTCTATTTCCACATCATCTTCTGGGCTGCCAAATCCAGCTTACCAGGAACAGTTTCTGATGGCAGATTCTTCAACTTCCTTCCATGTTGAGGAGACGTAATGCATAGCCTATGAGGAAAAAGTTTTTTTTAAAAAAATACCGGTAGGGCTCCTGATTATAAAAAACTACAATTTTTCCGTTAGCACATAAGAGCACAGTTACGCGGTCTTTCCTCTTCTTACCTCCGTGACAATTTTCTCCCTTGAACGTCAACGTCATTTCAGGTTTTAGGAAAAAGAAAAGCCTTGTCTCGTCGGCGTTAAAAATATCTTTAGGGTATACTGCGCCACCAGTTCTTTAAGAGGTCCCAACTTTCATGCCGACACGGCGTCTGGATTAACACTTCCGCTTTCGCCGCACACACTTTTGCAGCAGATCTCGTGTCGCAGTTTGAACTTGTGAAGCCAGCCGGATAAAGTTTGGACATTTTCTAAATCAAGCCGAAGTCCAATTTCACAAGGGGTTGCTTATTGGAATACCTTCTGCGCGATACTTCTGAAACCACTGCAGCAAAGCATCTTCCAAATCTAGATATTTTCCTCCTTGAATTCGCATTATCTTGCTACTCGACGTCCCTAACACACGTGCATTGACCTCTATTTCTTTCCCCTTGGAAATGATGGAATTCAGAGTGGATGCCGGTATTCCCAATTCTTTAGCTCAATCTACTCTTTTTGTATTATCTCTCCCCCTCGTAACTTTTAAAATTTTTATTTTATCAGATATTGAAAGGGCTTGCCTTTTCCTACCACTCATTTTGGTTTAATATCGCGGACGCAAAACCAGAGAGAAGACGATTTACCAAAGTACAGTACAGAAGTCATGAGATGAAGGAGAGAGCTGAGCGACACGAAGTCTATTCACAACTCTCATTCAGAAACTGCAGAATACAGAGGATGAAATGCTCGTAGACCTCCAATATACTTACCAACAGTCGACTCCAGTTATACTGAACTCGGAAATGTTGAACTTAGGTCACTAGTCCCGTTTCATTTACATTACACATAAGAACAAGGAGATTTGATTGCAGTAAACTCTGAACCTCGGCTAGAGTGAATGTATACATATATACATTCCTTATATAATATAATATAGTATAGTATATATCACCTCAGAGCCACAAATTTCATTGCTGGACAGCTTGTAAAAAATATCGTCGGCCAAAGGTTATCATCGAAGACTTCTCTCCTGAGGTAGAGGTAGCGGACACGCAATGGGAACCTTACTGATGACCTTGTACGACTCAGTTTCACTACGGAAACAAAAGCCATGTCCTACGTGGGCTACGACTGGCTGAGGCGACACCCGGCTGCTTGTTTCGGTTCCAAGCTTAATCTTACTTGAGATTCCGTGGGTCAAAGCTATGCTCTTCATGGTGGGCGAAAGGACGCGCACAGCCTGGTGACACCCATCACACCGCGCGGAAAAGCGATCGGTTTCATTAGCCGCTAGTGCCATTGGTCTACAGAAAGCATCTCGTATGTTAAGCCGAAGGGGCCTTCGGAGAATGGGCCAGTCAGTGCACACACTTTCTCACTTATTGGTCATCTGTCCCGGGGACACCTTTGCCCTTCCCACGGAGCTCGCCATCGCCTCCTGAGATCCACAGCTCCCGTACGCACACGACTTAGAAATTCTTGGAAGTCACGCTGCCGGAGGTGGCCCCGGAGCCGACTTTCCCTACCACCCCTCGGGCTCCCGCGATCTTGGCCTTGTAGCTAGGCCAAGTCGAGCTTCTATATTACAAGTTTTATGAATAGGAAGTCACTTCAGAGATCGAGAGGTCTTTGGAAGCGCTCTGAAGCGTGCAGACTCGAGTAAAATTCCCGGCACTCGGCGCAGGTCGCCTCACCCATCACGTCTGCGGGATCATTTGAAAGTTATACGATCTTAAAAGGACTTTTATTATGATCGTATAAGTGTGAAACATGTATAAACAAAAACGTGTACCTGAAATAATTTAGAATGGGAATTATAGGCATTTATCCGGGACCTACCAAAAACAGACAAACGTATAAACGTGAAAAAATATAAGTGAGAAACGTATAAACGAAGTTTAACTGTATCTGCAATGGTTCAGAAAATATTGTAGGGGAACATATTAGGTGAGCTACTACGACAGATTCCTATAAAAATTTTAAATGAGCTTTATCTTGCATTTGCATAATGTCAATCATTCCCCTTTACAATTATTTTAAATTAGAATATTACTTTCAAAAATACTTATTCTTTCCATATCTCCCCTCATTGGAGTCTGAGTTTGTGTAGATGAACATTAAAACTTCAAGCATTAATATACCGTGCTCATAAAATTATAAATCTTAATCTCATGTCAACCTTATGAACTGTTATAATAAGATGATATTGTTATTAGTTATTTGTTAATATTATCATTGTTATAACATGAATGGTTTGCAATATAATTGTTAGATAGGCAGAAAGAGCCATCATTAGTCATCTTCACATATACTACATTTCCACAATTTACTTGTGTATATAGTGGACTCTAGTAAATGTCATATTAAATAATTAACTCATATTCGGAAATATCTGTATAATTTTGAAAAATTCATGTCACCCCCAAATTTCTTACTTGCACCTACACTAATACTCATAACCCTTTTATACCTAGTGGCTACAGTTGTGTATATGAATTTCTTATTATTGTAATTGAAGACCTGGATTCAGCTCAACAATGCAGTCACCTTGTGTAGCTTCAATTGTTAATTCTTGTAAGATATTTCATGTGATTGCTATCTTTTTTATTTTTTCATTGTTGATTTTTAAAATTGTTTCAAAATTATTGATGCCATCTGATACTAGCAAGATAGTGACTGAATGATTGTTTCTTTTCTGTTTATTCCTTCATTTTCCAGTTATTTGATACTAGGTAGTCGGTAGTATAGTTTCTAGGTCAACACTTGTGACTATTTATGTCAACAACGTTAGCCATCACAGTTCTGTTGAATTGTAAATCGTGTAGAAAAATTAATGTTCACAAACATATCCACTGGGTCCCAATGCAATAAATGATAATACTAAATAATTCCTGTTTGCCGGACTCAAACAAAGAAAATAGCCTTTTGCAGATGCAAATTTACAGTATCACATTCTGATTTTTTTAATGATTTAACCTGGCAGTGGGAATGTTGGGTCTGTCAGACTCAGCATCATCTTTGAAGCCTTATGCCAAGTAAACAAAATTATTTCTTAACTTATCCATCAGCCTACCTTCAAACTGAATCTTCCTGAACAGATGACGACCATCAGTTCGAGTTTATCAGAAAAATGTGGTGAGCTGTTATCACTCAAAGTTGTTGATGGCTACATCAGTCCAGTGTCCCTATTATGTGACATTTTTACATGGCAAGCTCATCATTTTATTGCATTAAATCCAAAAAATATAGAATTAATAAACAAACTTTAAAGAATTATGATTATTTATCAAGTGATTTAGAAGTTGCTGATCCATTATTTGAACTAGAAAATTTACACTGTTCAGATTATGACCAAGAAATTGAAGAAACTGAACCTCAGAATCAGGAAATTAAACCGGAACATTTTGTAATGTATTTATCTATTTATTTATTTACAATTTGAATTTCATAAATAAAGACAATATTTGAAGGTTAAGAAATGCAATTTATATTATATTTTAGTAGGCCTGAAAACACTTTCTTGCAAAGGTTAAGAAAAACAAAATTAATGAAAAAATTATTGAAAAAAAATCTCATAAAATTATTGTAAAATTCCATAAAACAGTATATAAAACATTACTGTAAAAATGCTTCTACATTTAAGTAATGCAGAGATATTTTGTTAATATTGAAGATATTAACTTAATGCTACATTTTCTTTCCTTTGTTTGATCTTTGTTCACTTTCAATTTTGTTTTTCGTTCACTAGTCTGAGAATTTGAAAAAAATTGGGATATATTTTGTGCTATATATTGAATCTATGATTTATTACTTTGTTTTACTTCATAATAAAATGTTTCTATAATTAATTAGTGCTTTAAATAGGCTCTAATATCTAGTGGGTCTATGAGACTCAATGTTCCCAGTGACGTCAAGATTTTTCACATACCTGCTGCTGGGTTAATCATATCAATCCTAACTCTTGCTCCAAAATGTGTGGTACAAATTATTCATGAAGCAAAGGTGAGGATCCAAAATTTGAAATGTTTTTGAATGAGATCTGCATAATTTACATATACCTTTCAGTAATAACAATAACTCTGCTGCTGAAGTTTTCTGTCCTTTGTTTTTCTTCACAATAGAGCTTTACTAAAACAAAAATCTGAAAAGCATTACCTTCAAAATTTATTCAAAAAATTATTTCTTAAAAAATGTTTTTTCTCTAAAATAAGGTAATTAATCAAATTAGTAAGTTAATAAATCAAATTTTATTAATTTCTTTAATAAAAAATAATGACAGACTTCTCTTTTTAGCATTTCTTCCATGTGTGTACGTCCTTCAATTTCATGGTGAATTCTGATGCTTGAGAACCAGTGTTCACATTATGAACATACATTGTTTTTGAAAAATAAGTCCAAAACATACAATATTGACTTGGATATGTTTATCCACTCGGAAACAGATCAAACTTTCTAATAGGTAAGAAAAATCTAGGTCTGAAACTATAACAAACCTTACAAAAACGCGAATAGAAATAAGGGAAATTTTACGATAAACACAGTATCAGAAATTTTAATTAAAAAAAAAAAAAATAATTGGACCTTATACCAGAATTCAATGCCAGTAAATAAAAATGACAAAGGCACAATAAATGTCAACAAAGGCCTGTGGCAAGGATACACACTGCCACTACTATTCTTCAACATCTACCTCAATTACGTGATTAAAGAATGGAAACAAATCTCATGTAGGAACATCTTTGAGCAAAAATGTACATTAAGTGATAAAAAAATTCAATACTGAACAAGTTACAATCTTTCAATAACACAGAAATTAAATTGGATCAGATCAAACGGATAAGGAAGAAGAAAATAACACAAACATGTAATAGAAACAATACTACTGAATGATACTGAAACTTGAACTTTTGAGAGATTCCCAACATTACATCAAAATTAAGGTTCACAAACGTACATCATGGGTACAAAGGAAACTAGGAAGTAGCTCAAATCGAGTTTTTAATGACTATTTTAGAAGAAATCATAAAAGAGAATTAAAAATTGGAAAAGAAGTGAAGATGGAAAACATGCAAGTGAAAAGAAGGGACAAATGACGACCACGAGTGGCATTAAATTACAGACTAGAAGGCAAAAGGCAGACAAGGACATGGTATCAGGAGAAACACTTCCAACACACGAAGGAATATTGTTTTATAACAATTTTTTTATGAGGATAGGAACATCATTTCTAAAACAAGGGTGGAGTTGTTGACCAATGTTAAAAATTTGTTTAATTGGAAGTTTATTTTTGGATAACATGAAACCAATTTCAAAATTCATTGGATAACTTGAAAGCAATTTCTAGAATTTTGAGATTTGTTTCAAAGAAATGTTGATGAGAATTAGGTGATAAAAGAGATTCAGGCACTCAAAACTTCTACTTCAGATGCCTAAAAGAGGCTCTTACAAGATGAATATAAGCAGGTCAAGTATATACTGAAATTTGGATATAGTGTTTTTTGAAAAATTTACTTCAGTTTTATTACAGACAAGTGGACCCGGCAATGCTTGACTATTGCAGTTAATTATATTTCACATGCTACTGGTCTCATGATAGTTAATCACGTTTTATGCTACACTCTGCAAAACTCCTAATAGATGAAACATTTTCTCGCAAGTATGGTTGTTCTACATCCTGGTTTCAACATGTTTGTCAAATATTCCCCTTGCTAAAATGTTCTCTCTCAATTTCGAGCATGCATTCACTATGGCTCTTGTCATGGAGAAATTTACTTTATTTTTCTAAGATAAAGTTCAAGTAATAATCCTAGCTGATATTTCATAATTGCAGAGGCAGAATATGCAGCCAAAGAGGCTTAATACTTGACAGTGTGGAGGTTGCCTAGTGCTTCTGATCAGGGGTGCTTGTGTCTTCATAAACCATTAACAACAATGCCCCCACATGTCTAATTTAATTCAAACTACTCTTTAAACACTCCCAATACTAATAATAACAAAGAGTGAAAATTTCAGCAAAATTGGTCTTGTAGTTTTTGTGTCTACAGACGTTTGCAAATTATGAGAATAATTTATGAATTTAGTGTTTTGGTCCTTTGGGATATCTGAGAGAATATTATTTCCATCTCTAAAAAGGATTTGATGCAGTACATTAAAACACAACTGATGCTGTGGCAATTGTTGAATGTGGGTTCCTTGTTTTTTCTAGTTGAGTGTTGTGTTTCTAAGCCACAAGGAGCGATTTATATTGTTTATATAATGTCTGTTTAATCTACGTTTTGAATAAAATTGCTTTTTAGATTTGTTTCCTGGTTTGTGAAGTGGTGAACTGAAAATGCTTCGTATCGCAAAATTGCAGTTATGGGTAAAAACAGACTTTTTGCCCCATAAAAGGGCTTTGACTGAATATTTAATACAGAAAGACAGATATTTCTCATAAAATATTGCTACAAAATTGACTTATTTCACAATATTCTAGGGAAATGCCCCCGAAAGCATTCGCACATTTATTATCCAAAAAAGAATATTGCGAACAATGACCAGCACTGATAAGCTGGAGTCTTGCAAACCCGTGTTTAATAAATTAAGGATTCTTCCTCTACCATGCATGTATATATTTGAAATAGTGGTCTTCACAAAGAAAATTCTCGTGGAAAACAAAGACACTTTTACTTTAAATTCTGATGTACACAACTACTGTCAAAAGGATAACCTACATGTTCCCCACTCTGCAACTACACTTTATCAAAAAAGTACCCTAATAGAGGGCATTACACTTTACAACAAACTAGGCAATGATATTAAAGACGTAACCACAATTCATACATTTAAAAGTAAATTGAAAGCTTTCCTGCTTAACATGTTCTACAGTAAAGGAATTTTCAAATTACAACCTTTCCCTTAAAAAAAAATAAAAATAATTTTCTTATCCCATTAGACTTTCTGTTTCATGTAAACTGATTTGAGCTGAAGCAAAGAAAAAAGAACTGGCATATCGCATCCTGTGAAATAGAAGGAGAATGCCTGACAAAAAAAATTGTTTCTCTCTGGACTACGTGTACAATTTGAAAGAAGAAGAAGAAGAAAAAAAAAAAAAAAGGTTAAAACTTGCCTCCTCACCATTTTAAGTTTTAAATATAGAATGTACTACTATTGTTAAATTTGATGTAGTTGCAAACAATTATTATTATTATTATTATTATTATAAGTAGTAGCAATAAAATAACATCTTGAAATGTTAATTATTAGCAGATAATTTATCTACTGTATAATATCTTAATCTAACTGTAACGAGTATTGTATTTCTAGGCCAATGACCCCATCTCGATCAGGTTTTGTTCAGTTTCCCTGGTTCTTTGAGCAAATGCTAAGATGGCCCCTTGTTTGCTCCTGAACAGTAATGTAACTTCGCTCTCTCCACCCAAGGCATCATATTGACTCGTCATTCACGATTGTAATTGTATACGTGACTCAATAAATATTATTATAGAATCAGTTCTGCATTGAAATTAGGAGAGATCCTTGTAGTCAAATGTAAGGGAAAATGTAGTTGAAAACCCAAACTGAGTACTCATACGCAACAAAATTTGATTCAAAAGGCCAAGATCAATAGAAGGAACATCAGTAAGAACTTGAGCACTCAACTTAAGTTGAAATATTCTATCAATTATAAGAAGGGGTCTTTGTGCCGCAGGACGTCCTGCAAGAAGGTCAAGAAATAAAGCAAAAATAACTTCTACCATGAATAAGAAATGGCTGAAATGGACAAAAAGAATGCAGATTGAAGTTAACATCAATTGAGAAAACATAATAAACATGATATATCTGATTGTTTACTATTTACTAACAGGTAACTTTATATTTAGGGGTGAAGTAGGATTTTTTTAAACTTTTTCAGAAATTTATTACAGAGATTTACTGATTTATTTTCTGTAGTTTCCAAATTTTATTTTGAAAAGTCATTATAATTAGTGCTTATTATCTTGCAGGTAGTATTTTCAGATAAGTCCATATTTTTTGCGTCCAGGAAAAGCAGCCAGTATGTGAGAATGGCCATTGCTGAGGCTTTTTCTCCAAAATGTATCACTCCGATAATCAAATATTTAACTTTAGTCATAGTATGGAGTTGCATGTCAGTTCATGGATGTGACAGATTAGACAAAAGGTGCTTCAAACCCGCCTGCTGCATCAGATCAGATTGGTTTCCTGAAAAATATTGCATTTTATGCATGAAGGAGAACCATGCCATTATGCCAAGTCTGGTAAGAAATTCTTTAAGGAAAATAACAAAGACATTGTCTTGACGTGGTAATTGCTCAGACTGCAACTCAATTGAAAATTTAACAAACCAATTGTTAACAAGATTGAAGAAAATAATAACAACCCGAATTGGCCTCATCGTAAACATTATTGACGTACGGTTTTGTGGTGAACAAATTCAAAAAATGTCCAAGGACCCTGTGGCAAGCATGTCAGAGAGGATACAAATGGTTATAAAGAACAGGGGAATGCACCCCAAGTTTTAAAAAGAGCATTGTGTATTGATAAATTGTGATAATTATATTTCAAAAGTAAATTACTGTTAGTTTTTTCAATTATTCTAATAATTTACACACGTCTGTATGTGTAACAAATATACATATATTCCAAACTATATATGTATACAGATAAATCAAAAATACAGAATGGGTAGCACTATTTGATTTGATTTATTTTCTGTAAATACAGTAAAAGCTGTTAGGGCGAGAAATATTTTTTTCCTTGAGCCCCAGAATCTCTTCACCATTCTTTAATCATAAATAATGAATAAAAGTAAACAACAAAGTGAAATTAGCAACATTTAAAAACTAGACATTTTTGCTCATGATTTAATGATGATGAAAATTATTTGCATTTGTAATCTAGTCACATTTGATTTTTTAGTATTGCGAACAGAAAAGAATTCCGTCTACTCCAACGAGCTAGAATATACTAATATATTCTAGCTCATTGCTCTACTATCACCACAACTAGCAAAAGAAGAGTTCAACAAAACATTTGCATGGTGAAGCTACAGAGTGAGTGAGAGAGTGTTCGTGAGAGAGAGTGAGTGAGAGAGGGGAAAACAAATTTAAGTTTTTTGAAAACTAAGCAAAAACATATTGAATTCTTATTTAATTTTTTTTATTAAAGTAATTTTTGTCAAATATGATTACCGAACTGATTTCCCAATTCAAAATAAACATTTACATAATTATTAGAAATTTAATAAAGTTCTGGACACTTGCATTGTCTTATGGGGAGGAGGTATCCCCTTATTCTACTACATAGTAACAGAAATATACTTTAACATGAACGCTCTATTTCATCCTTTAATAGAAACGATAGAAAAAAATTGTATGTTGGCAAGTGAAGTCATTATATGCACAGAAAAAAAACACATTGTTGTTATTTAATTAATTTTTCTTTTAATTCATTATCAGCTATAACAAAATAGCAAAATAAAAATAAAACTTCATTTCTGTTCTTCTTTATGAGACCTTTTTGTAAAAGCTTTTTTCTTTCCCAGGTTACGGACTCTGTAAAACAAAGGAACATTAATAAGTTAACATTAAGTTTTTTATAATCGTCCATGTCACAAACATAAAATTCAGTGAAATTTCCCATATCTAGGGTCCAATTATCTGAGAGTAAATTTATACAGGACATGCTTCATTATGAAAATATAGAGAAATAGTAGAAAGAAATACAAGAAAACAGGATCCTAACTTACAACCCTGATATGATTTAATTTAATTAAATGATTTGGGAATTAATTTTGTACTAATCATGGAAAATTGAGATAGAAAGTAGTTTTAAAAATATAAAAAATTAACTTATACTAAATAATTATAAGTACACTTTTATTGTAAATTATAATATTTATTATTATTTACATACTTCTTAGGTTTTAATATTAACACATTTAAATCAACCAAAAAGTCAATGGTACATTTCCTGGAATAGTTTTAGTATTATCAACAATTTGTTTTCTCATGTTTTGATCTATGTTTGGGATCTTTTCCATTTTGTGAAAAAGATCTCAAGCAATGATGAAAACAATATAAAATGAAATAGTTATTGTTGCCATTCTGTCTGATTTACAAAAAGGTCAAAAATATATCGAGGATAGCTACATAACAGTTGTTAACATAATCAGAAAATTCAATCAGAAAATTATTATCTGAGTTTGGGTTTTTGTTGTTGAGTACCTATCCTACCATTTGGAGGATATCCATATCCTACTGTATGACTCTTTCAAATTAATGTATTTTTTAATAATTTACTACATTTTATGTCAAGATCATACTAGCCATTTATATAGCACTAATGCCCACAGTCATTTAATTCATCAGATGGCAAATAAAAGCATTTGCACATGGTTCAATATAAATATGATAATTTTAATTAATAAGCTGCAATCCAGAATTATTATTTTTGTATGAAACTGTTGACTTATTCATGACATCGAAGAATATATATCTTTTTATAATTTATAAATTTCAGCAAAACTGCGACAGACATTTACAATCTGATTTGATTTATTATTCAACAAAGAACAGTAAAAACTGTATGTGACATATTGCGAAGATATACAAATCTGTGTAGGATTTTTTTGAGCTATAGAATCTCTCCCCTCCCCCTTTCACCATAAATAGTTTAATGAAAAATAAAAGTACCAAGAAAGAAAAGTTGACAGATTATGAACATTTGAAAACCAAACATTTTTGCTCTTGAGTTATAGAAAACTTATTTGCATTTTTGCACAAAAACTCTGTAAAATAAATTAATGAAATGCCTGAAAAGGGGTTATCTTGATAAGACAAATTATGTAAATTTAATTACTTTTATTGAATTTAATAGAATTTCACTATTACTTAAATATATAAACATTTAAAAATTATTATTTAAGCACCAAGGGCGTTATAAGTGTTCAAAAGATCGAGCAGAGACAAAAAGCCCAAAGGCTCACCCCAGATCATTAGAATCTCTTAATGCCTGTGGTACATATATAATTTTATTTTTAACTAATTTTAATTATTCATATATACTTATTGACTAATTATTAATCTGACTCGGTTTGTCATTTATTTTCCTCCTATAATTTCCTTTCAAAAACCCTTCTGTAAGAAAACATGTAGCAACATTCAACTGTTTTCATATTTCCCTTGACAGTATGATCTTCTCAATCCAGGTAAGTAATGTAGTGAATATCCAGTCAAATGCAGGCACAAGGCAATAACGTATCAATAAAAAATAAAATCATGTTTTACAAGTATGATACATGCATTTACATATATTTTATTTTGTACTTATTACTTATATTTTTCACAGCAGCTTAATTTGATCTAGCTATCTAGCCAGTCACTGTCAAGACTCAAACCCTAGGATCTCCCTGTCAGAGGCACTGCATTGACATCAAATCATGCACTTAGCCACCTAAGCTGGTACAATAATTTTCAATCAGAATACATAATGAAAAATAGAACAAAACATACCTTTGAAAGACTGTTGGTTGTAAAATATTTCTCTTCTGCATGCTCATAAAGCGATCTCTTAGAAGGTTGCCTTCTGGTTTCAACCCCACCAAACTTCCACTTAAATCGAAGGGCATGCTGAATTCTTCTTCATATTCTTCAAATTTTAATTTTGCTAAACGTTTAGGTTCAAACTTCTTTAATTCATTCTTTTTCTGAATTTGTGCTTGTTTCTCTAATGATTTTAATTCATCTTTCTCAACGTTCTCCACAATTTTCTTGAGCCTGAAATAAAAAATTATGTTCAAAAACACAATTTTAAAAGTAATTTTTCTTCTGAGAGAAGCTAGTACAGTCTTTGCAGTAAGGTGACAAATTAATAACAAATGAAAAGAAGGGAAAAAACACCCTAACATTTTTACTAATAGGTCTCCGAGTATATACTGCTTTTTTTAAAGGCAATGATTTAGAGGGCTATCTGATGGTCTTAACCTTTTACCTCACACAGTACACTTGTACATCATGCTCCATAAACTCCAATTAGCTTATGCAAATACCTTTAAATTTGGTTACTTTGAATGAATTCCTTACTCTATTGGAAAATTGAATTGATTACTCTATTGAAAGTTTTATTTCATAAACTGATGTTACCCGCTACCCAAAAACACCACAAACATTTACCACTTTACTTTGCTATAAGCAGTTTGCATATTCTCCTGGCCTAACAAGATGGACTATCTTTAAAATGCATTCTCAGTAAGTACCACGAAAAAACTTCATTACTTTTCTTTGTTTTATGTCTATTTCAAGTATCCACAAAATACATGTTGGTTCTATATACACGTTTGCCTCAAAATCTCAAAAAATGCAAGTGAACAATGGAATTTACAATATACTAATTTCCTCATGAACTGATTTGCAAACTGCTCTGTAATATTTTAACATTTAAAAGGGAGCTACAGTTTCACAATTCACCCTTTATTTAGGACAAAACATTAAGAAGGGGTACTTTATGAACATGAGACGCCCCAACAAAGAAGGGACAACAACAATACATTTTTATAAATCTTGGAAAATAAATCCCTCAGTAGAATAATTTCTTTCAATAAGATTGAATTATGAACTGTAACGGATCACCAAAATTGTCAGAAATATAGATTTTTATATATTATTTTCATACTATGATCATTGAGGTAAGAATAGTTGTAAAAAATTTTTGCTTTGATTCCAAGGATTATATCAGGAATAATGTTACAAAGAAAATTTATACTGCTTATGAAGCTTAAGAGGTTCTTCACTTCATTTACATTTTCTTGTTTTCTGGGACATTTAGGTTGGGTAATAGATTCTTGTTTCATTCCATCATAGTATTTTTAATTCAATAAATTTTGAGGGGAATAAAAAGTATGATGACCATGCCTAAGGGCTCTCAACTTGTATCTATTGTTGTTCTATTGGAAAATACTATTTCTGAAAAAGTCATCCACGACTTGTGAAGTTGTTCCATTTGTGAATTACAAGAATTGATTAGAAGAGTACTACAGTAAGTCAAATGACCAAGCAGTCCATTGGAACAATGAACATGAATTTGGCATTATTCTTTTTACATATAATTATGCACACTTATTGTGCTGAAGCTATACATTTACCACCGACATAATTATTCAATCTTTTTGGCAGCAGAGTTAAGACATGAGGCAATCTGGAGGAACATCATACAAATAAAATAAAAGTACTGAGCATATTTCAAACTGCATCTAATCTTTAAAAAATTTACTAAGTAGTTTATTTAACTATAGATACTGAGGTAAACTAAAACTCTACATATGCCTATGGATGGTGGTAAATTAGTAGATTTTTATTAAACCAAAAAGCAGGAAATAATGGCAAGGTACAGTGAAAATAAGAATTTATTTGGAAATGAAATGCTAGGTAATTTTTAAAAAACAGACTTTTTTGTTCAAAATAGAAACAGCCAATCACAAAATAGTTAAGCATGTAAACCTACCTCTGTCAAAAAATGCAGGGTTGTCTTATATTTGCAGATTAAGCCTAGTTAGTTAGAAAGTTTGCAGGAAAAAAACCAATGTACCAAATTAACCCAATTACCAATGTCACCAAACTCTTAAATGCTGAGGAAACAATAAACTGCAAAGATGGTAAAAATATTGCCCGTTCTCGACAATAAGTAATTATATTTGCATTTGCATTCTAGGCAGCCATCATGAATTTACCAGGTAAATCAGACATATTTTTGAAAGGGCCAGTAAAGAGGGAATCTCAAAATGAATGACATTGAATCTATTGAAATGTAATGTGGAAATGAAAGCTGAGATTTTATTACATGATGTGGGTTCAACGAGGCCACAAGGAATCTCGGTTCAACAAACGAATCTGTGTTTTGACCAGTTAAAGAAACAGATGCCATCAATTGGGCGATGGATAGAAAATCTGGTGACAAAGGGAATGTTCTTGGGTGGGGTCTGATGAGAGACTATTAACACTGCAAATTTAGTCCACAAAACTTTCAGAGGGGCCTGAAAAGTCTGAAGATGTCACAGTATGGAAGGAGGACTAAAGGAAAGAAACATGATTATGATTTGAAGGAACAATAAAATGATAGTTCAGCAATAAGTCTTAATGTTCCCATTAACAAGGCAATTTTCTAGTCAATAAGACAATTTACAATATTATTTTTACTATTTTAAAATAGGTTAAAAATTCTCAGGAGGGCTCTTCAAAATTAGGACATAGTCTAATATTCAAAGTTGACTAATATATGGGTTAATACGGTACATAGAATTTTAATAAAGAGGAAAGAAAATGAACTTTGGATGAAGGATTGACAGGAGCCTTGGTGATGAGAGTACAAGAAGATTGATTAGCATATAGATGTATTTAAATGAAAAGGTAATAAGTAGAAATATTGCAATACAGGAAATCATGTAGTTTTTACTTAAGAGTACTGTAATGTGTGATGCAAATTTTTTGTTTTGAAAGAGTGGATAATGGGTGATGGTGATGCAACATTGAAGAACGTCATTGATCCAAGGCTAAATGTTCACCAAAAAGGGAACTAAATGAACTTGATAGTTTTTATTTTGTTGGAAGAGCATGTTTTGTCAATATTTTTGCAAACTTGGGTGTACACGGTGAACAGAATGGAAACAATGACACAATGAACGCTTGTTTTCATTACGTACATGGAAAGAATGAACAAATGCAGATTGTAAATTGAATAATTTATTATTTCCCTCATATTGTGGTGTATTTATGTAATGTCCAATTAAAAAGAGAATAATTTTCAGATGTTTGCTTGTGAAATATATATGAAACACACAAGTTTTGCATGAAATGAACCGCTGTCTTGTTAATTTAATTAGTAATGGTTTCCATGTGTGCAAGTAAATTTTCTTCAATCTGGATCTGAATAAGTCAATAAAGTAAGTTAGCTGGATATCAGATATATACTATTGCCTAAACATTTCTTTAAGTAAATAAATAAAATAGATAATGAGGGTCAGTATTAAATAAGAAAAATAATAGAAGTACAGTGGTCTCTAGTTGTAGGGAACTTGGATATAGAGAACCCACTGTTATAGTAAACTTAAGTCACTGGCCCGTTTAACTTACATTACAAATAAACATAGGAAGATTCAGTTCTAGTGAACCTGAACCTCGGTTATAGGAAATACAAAGACCTGAAAATTAATTCCCACCTGAATAATATATTGCCTCAGTGCCATAAATTAGAACACTAGGAAGCTTGAAAAAAATATCAGCAGAAGTCATAATCACAAAAGTCTACCCTGAGGTCAACGTAGTGGACCCAGAATGGGGACCTTACTGATGACCTTATGCCACTCAGTTTCAAGCTTGATGTTATGAGATATTCCGCAGGTCAAAGTATGTTGTATTCTATGTAGACGACAGGAATTGTGCAATTGCCACAGCCCCACAGCCTCCCGATTTACGCCATGCCACATGGAAAAGCTATCAGTTTCATTACCCGCTTGCGCCTTGTCACTACCAAAAGTACCTCGTATGTTATTAGGTGATTAAAAGGGCCTTTGAAGAGTGGAGCTTCCAACAGTGCATGTGGCATTGAAGGGTGCCAAGACTGCATTACGATACTACAATACAGTGGACAATACAGAATGAAGTCCAGCAAGAGCACAAACTCTGGAGAGGGATCTAGAGAAATTAGCAATGAAAAATGTTTGAAGAAAATCATTGATTTTTTCAAAAACAAATAAAGATATTGAAATTTTCAGTTCATGTTGTTAATGCATTTTCTGTGTATCTACGTATATTAATAAAAATAAATCATTCTATTTAATTTTGACATCCTCACGATATAGTAATATAGGTATATAGTGAACCTCTGATATAGTAAACCAAAAATGTTAGTCCCCAGAAGTTCACTATAATTGTAATCGACTGTAGTTTGAAGGGAAATTAATAATATAAAAGCTAAATGCTGCAGTCTATTAACTCTCCACATACTTATAAATATCTGCCACTTTCTTCTTCTCAATTGCCTTTAGTTTTCTTTGATTCAATTCTTCTTTTGCTAGCCTTATATTTTTTCGTGTTTTGCGAGGTTTTTTCTTGTCTTTTGTAGGTAGGTTAACTGCTTGATATTCTTTTCCATCATCTTCCTCTTTTACTGGACCCTCCTTGGTCTGGGGAAGACCTTGTGACATCTCCTTTATCCATGAACTCTATACAAACAAAATATGCATTTCAAACACACAAAACTCTACTGAAACAAAAATGCTATATACACTCATCCCAAAACTTGTGAAGAAGTCATTCTTACATTCAAAACAACTTACATGAGTCTGCCTTTCCGTAACAGCTGAGAAGAGTTTGGTAGTGACACGATCAATATGTTTCTCTTCTTTAATTAGTTTGTTCTCCTTTTCTACAATGCCCGTTAATAAAGAATGATGGTCTAAATATGAAGGATTGTAAGAGACACCTGGAAGTAAACAATTCCTTAATGAATATGAATTACTGAATACACTCTAATATCAAAGAGTAGCCCAGGAAATAAAACAAGCCAATGGTTTTCATCTTTGTCAACCGATGGCACTAGAGAATGATCACAATTTTATAACACACACAATTCTCTTTAAATATAGTAAGTATAAAAAATATATTCATGAAAATACTGAAAAATAAAAAGGATAATGCCAAAACATTCAGACATAAATTAACTGCTTATTAATTTTTTCCAATTCAAATTGATGAATTAATAATGTTTTAAAAATGACCAACTTTTTTAGGAGTACATAAAATATTTAAAATAGATAAAGCTCCCTATTTAAGTGAATTACATGTGTAGCTTATTACAAAAATTTGGAGTCAAGGAACTTTAGACTGGATGAATGTTTGTGTTTATTATTATGAGGACATTAACCCGATGCAATCTTGGTTATTATTTCCATTAGTGTAGGGAATGTTTATTTCCAAGAGATGGTGGTTTTCCATTCTCGCTGAATGGTGAAAACTGAGGATGATCTACACATAGGCCTGGAGGGGATTCCCCCCTCTAAGTACCCCATCTAGAGAGGGCACTGCCCTAGCTTGAGCAAGCTTAAAGCTCCTGACTGGTCTCCTGATGCTTGTGGTAGTGTAGTGTGAGTAAAGGAACATGTAGAAGATAAGGAAGAAAAAGGAAAGTTTGCATGCAGTCCATGGCTCACTGGGTAGAGTAACCCTAAGGCATTTATTTGGTATTAATTGAAGAAACTACAGAAAACTACTGTTTAGACCAGCTGGCCACAAAAATTCTCCTCCACATGCAGTAGCTGAATTCCACCCAGCCAATACAGCTAGAGTAAAAAAATCTGCCACTTTTGGGACTTGAATCCTATAACCTAGCAGAGTCATTGTGGAGACAATAGTAATACTAACTTCACTGATCAATGAACACTTGAAATTGATTATCAACTAAACATTGAATGATCAAGATTCTATGAAGAGTTTGGGTAAGTGTCTAGGGATAATGTGCCAATGAACCAAAATGAATAATTAAACTTCACAGCTAAAATAATTTCTGAAGATGCAACAGAATAAGAGTCTAAAACAATGGTAACTGCTAAGAATAAAGTGTTTTGGTCATGCATGTGCAAATTCAGAAGACAAATGTAGTCATGTAACAAATCTACATATATGTACTTCACTTGTAAAATCAAAATTAAAACTTAGGTAATCATGGAATAAACTTCCCTCTTTATAAAAAAGAAGATTTATTTCATTATTCGCTGAAGGTTAAACTTACTTTGTAGTATTATGCAAAAGTACAGAGATTTATGAAGAGAACAATCTCTTTAGAGATGTATATAATTGAAAATGGCCATAAAGACACTCCACAACTACAAAGTCTATTCATACATTGGAAATAACACATAAACCTATAAATTACCTGGATGTGGTGCTTCAATGGCAGGCACTACTGATGTCTTGTTAATTACAGATTCAGGAACCTTCTTTTCAATTTGCCTTGTATGTTTCAATACATGTCCACGAGTTGTAGGATGGAGCCACTGGAAATCCACCTCTGGATACTTGGGTGGGGCTGAAGATGAACATAAAAAACATAGTAGTGAACAAACATCTGAACTACACATGCTACAATTTGATCAACTACTATGAATTAGTTATAGGAAGTTTTATTTTCAATGTAGTCTACCTTCTGCCCACAAATCTTTAGTAAATTCACAAGATTTTGGGGTATTTTCTTTCTTAATTTTATGTATTCTTCTGTTATTAGCAGCAATTCTTTCCTTTGCTGTTAAAATACCATTGGCCTTACGATATGCTTCAATTTTCTTTTTGATAGGGTGCTTCCTTTCCTCAGGTGTACGAACTCTATTCCTGTAATTTAAGACAAAAATCTTGTTGAGAGAGGAGAGAGAGGAGAGAGAGGAGAGTGAGGAGAGAGAGAGAGAGTGAGGAGAGAGAGAGAGAGTGAGGAGAGAGAGAGAGAGTGAGGAGAGAGAGAGAGAGAGAGAGAGAGAGAGAGAGAG